GTATGCATCGAGTGATGAGGTGATGCCAATATCCTCACTAATACTAATTCGGCCATAGCCATTCAGGTAAGCTAGGCTGATCTAGGAGTATATATACATGGGAATCTTTGAGGCAGTGTCTGTCTTCACTTGTTGATTGTACCACTGCTAAACCAGTGCCACGGTCCGGTTACTTTGAAGAATAAACGGATCCAAGACAGGATTTTCGCTATGCCCATGCTCCAACAAGGCTCATGCAGAAAGCGCCCATGAACACTAATAGACATGCAAAAACACGTTTCCGGCCTCTGAGAATACGCCAGCTTTCGTCACTGAGGAAATCCTCCGACATCAATTCGACTAGAGAGGCGAAGATGAGGAGACCAGAAGAAATTGCGTTCATGGTGCCTACCAGGAGCAGTCCTACTTCTGAATCTGGGCTGTAGAGGGTGTGTGTAGCGAGGCCTATTGCCTGGCCGATCGGTGTTCTGAAGATAATCAGTATTTTAACAATTTGAAAGAAGACAATATCAGAAAACTTACGTGCATCCGTAAGCCAAGGACATGAGCCATGGCTGGATGGCTCTCTCCGGCCAGTCGAGGGCAGCGATGCGAGAGCCCAATGCGAGACCCTCGAATGTTTCTATCTGATGTTAGCTGGATCTAGGCTGGGATATAAGGAAGGAACATACGATGGAATACGATGGCAATCAACAGGATCACAAACTCGCTGCCTACCGACACGCTGAGCGACATGCCAATGAATACACTGTGAAAAAGAATCCCCATTTCCAACAGGAAAACCTGCATGACGGCTTTTTTGTGTTTTTGCTCTGGTGTGAGTTCGAGATCGTCGCTTCGTTCCACGTCCTCGATCGGCTGTACTTTGCTTTCTTGGAATGTTCGCATGCCTTCAGGAGCAGAAGCAATCCGCATGATGCGATCGGATTCTTCACCCATGCGGTTGATAGTCCGACTCACGCTGGTTTGCCTGCCAATCAATGGGCCGAGATCACGCAAGTGCGATTGACTTTCGACCCTGGTGCAGACAGGCCGTTTGACCTCATCTGGGTATTCTGAGTTTTTGGTAACAGGGACACGGGAGTTGCAGACACTATGTTCGGGCCGAGATGTCTTCTGCTCGGCGACTTTGAGCCCTCCGCGGCACACATGTCGTGCGGGACTGAAGACCATTTCGACCACAGTCACCAGAAAAATGCCTGCTAGAGCAATGGCTCCGGGCATGGCGGGGTAGTCGGTGGTCCAAAAGTCCGACAAGCAAGGGTTATTGAGAGAAGTAAATGCAGTCGGGAGCAGATGAACAAATGCGGTGGCAATGAGGACGCCCGTTCCGAAATGGCTGACCGTAAAGAGAGCCGATGGAGGGATGCGTAGACGAGGGAACCATGTTGCCAGGACAGGGAAGGCACAGGCCAAGGTAGAAACGCTCAAGACAATAAAAAGCGCGCCGATATGCAGAGAGGTGTTATATTCGCTGTTCTTGACGCCTCCTGGGGCGCATGTGGATCGTTTGATGAGTTTTGTTTGGGTTTTGTCTGCTATTTCTGGTCATTATTATCCGGGACAGTCTGAAAAGGGAACACTGTTACTTACCTGCCGTATCAGGGACCGAGACGGGAGAGCTGAAGTATCTTCCTAGGCTCTCATGGGAGATGAGCGCAGAGGTGAAGAGAACCGATAGCAGCCACCAGGCCCAGCTCTTGATCTTTTCAAGTGACGATCGATCAAGATGGCAGAGACGATGGATTTGACTAGCAATATTGTTGTTTTGAAAGTAGTTGGGGCGTCCTTTGAGATGTCAACAAAAATGTATGATCTAGTGAGTCATTGGAACATACCTGACGGTGTCAGTGACGCCCCAAGAGACTTTGACTCATTCCCAATTGGAGTATTCCGTCGTTCAGGCATGGTTTTGGTGTCGTCCCAGCTGGTCAACGAAGCGGCATTGAGCCCAGAGCCCGATCTGTACACGCGGGCATTGGTGATGCCGTTGAAGTCTTGGCGGGTGGTCAAATCCGGCGCCAGAGAAGGGGGATTCTGGTTCCATTCGCAGTGTAGAAGAGTGTCGTCGGTTCGGGAGGGGCAGTTCATGTTGATAACCCATTTAAGACTTCTTTATGGCCGAGTACCAATGGACAGCGGTAGAATTGAAGAAGAATCTCGCGGATCCTGCCAGGCAAAAGTGTGCAGAACAGCCATCTTAATACGTAATTTAATCGGAAGGGATTGCATTCTTGGCTCCATCACCACATGGCTTGGCATCGGGAGTCAAATTTGCCTTCAGATCAGATGCAGAAAGATCTCATAACTATTAGTGCGTGCTGAAACTCTCTCAACTATGATTCAGCCAGGATCCCTTGTACAATCTCATCCAGCTGAAGATGATAGATCTTAATCCTGCCCGGCACAATGTGTTGTCGTACCGCCATTTGTTCTTCTTCTGCTCTCTGATCCGAGGTTCTTGGCGTCCCACTCCGGTTTCTCCCATAACGGACTCGTACTTTCGCTGGATTTCCCCACAGTTCTCGTAGTGTGCGCGTATGATGCTGCCTAGCATTTAAATACTGACTGTTGTGTGTCTGTTGATGGAGCTTGTTACATTGGAATGGAGTCACTGCTTACTTCATCTTCTATTTAACTGCTGTAAGTTAATCAATCATTCAGATAGGTGTCGAATCAGCTGACGGTGATTAGAAACTAAAGGCTGATTGTGGTTGGTGCATGCGCTCTTCATTCAGTCATATTCGGAATCCCATTCCACCATCAACCGTTCCATAGCCGATTAATTCTTGGAGTATTGAACTCGCACTTGAACCAAATCACTTATGAGAATAGGAAAGAAATGGCCGTTGTCAAGCATCTAGAATGATCATGACATCTGGCATTTTCAGCCCACCTCACTTGCCGGACTCCATCCATGCCGTTGTCACAACCAATATCCGTAAACCTCCACAAAGTATCTGAACCAAGATGCAGTATCACGGACAGTGTCTCGTTGACACAGCAGCCACCGGAAAACTCCTCTACGCCAATGTTGGCGTGAGTTTCTGGGGCGGAGTCGACTCCCAGACCGGAGAGATCATTGACCGCCATCATCCTCTCCACGGACAGTCGGTCAACGGTCGCATATTGGCCATTCCGTCCAGCAGAGGGTCATGTTCAGGCAGCATTGTGCTGATCGAGCTGCTGTTGAATAAATGTGGCCCCGCCGGGCTGATCTTCCAAGAACCGGAGCAGATCATCACACTAGGGGTCATCGTGGCCAAGACGCTCCTCGACCTCTCGATCCCAGTACTTGTCCTCAAACCAGAGGAATTCCAATCGCTAAAGGAACATAAATACGCCGCAATTACGGGGTCAACCCTTCAAACGGGAGAGCATCATCTCCCACCACCCACCTACGAAGCGCCGGCATCGCCCCCATCAAAGGCCCTGCTCCTCTCCGAAACCGACGAGGCAATCCTCCATGGCGCCCGCGGAGCAGCCGCCCAAAAAGCAATGGAGATCCTCCTGAGCTTCGCCCAGATCCAAGGCGCAACGAGGCTCATCGACATCTCCCGCGCCCACATCGACGCCTGCATTTACACCGGCCCCGCCAGTCTGCGGATCCCGCAAACCTTTCTGTCTCTAGGCGCTCGCGTCGCCATTCCGACCACGCTGAATGCCATTTCGATTGACCGGCGCCGGTGGAGGGAAATCGGCATCAAAGAAGATCTGGCAATCCCCGCCGACCAGCTGGCGGAGACCTACCTGTCCATGGGCGCGCGGCCCGTCTTCACCTGTGCACCATACCTGCTGGAGTCTCCCCCCACGGCAGGGCAGGATATCGGCTGGTCCGAGTCCAATGCGGTGGTATTTGCGAATAGTGTGCTTGGTGCGCGGACGCAAAAGTATCCTGATCTGATCGACGTGTGTATTGCGTTGACGGGGAGGGCTCCCTTGGCGGGTGGGCATGCAGATGAAGGGCGGACGCCGACGGTGGTGGTCGAAGTCGCGGATTTGCGTAAGATCGATGATGGAGTATGGCCGGTATTAGGATACCAGATTGGCCAGCTGGCTGGGGGAGATATACCGTTGATTGTCGGGTTGGAGCACACGAAGCCTCGTATTGCTGACCTCAAAGCCTTTGGGGCTGCTTTTGCGACAACTGCGTCTGCGTCCATGTTCCATATACAAGGTGTGACTCCGGAAGCGAACAAGTTCGAGGGGATACGGCAAACAGCGAAGAGGCACTCCCTGCATGAATTCGACCTTGTGCGGACATGGGAAGACTTGAACACTGCTAAAGACTCATCAGTTGGGTTGGTGTCTTTGGGGAATCCACACTTCTCGCTAGAAGAATTCGAATCGCTCTCCCACCTGTGCGCCGATCGCAAGAAGGATCCTTCTGTTCAGATGATGATTACAACCGGGCGAGACACCTACGAGCTCGCGGCTAGCAAAGGTTATATTCAAACACTGGAAGCATTTGGTGCAACCATCATTACTGATACCTGTTGGTGCATGATCCGAGAGCCGGTAATACCTCCGCAGACAGTAAATATTATGACAAACTCAGCCAAGTATGCGCATTATGCTCCAGGAATGGTGCAGCGAGGAGTGCATTTTGGAAGCCTGGCGCAGTGTGTGGTGGCCAGCTGCGCGGGCTCTTTTGGTGGCGAGCCATCATGGAAGCAAGACTGTACAGCATGACCTCGATATACATCCGCTCAGCTCGTTATTACCCCGCCTCGCCATAGAGCCGGGTCTGCAGCGCTGTGCCTGGCTATGGTTTCGTTCCACGGGTCACGAATCAGGTACCTGTTAAATGCAGTTACCATACCAGGATGAGTTGTATACTAGATGACGGAAGAATTACCACCATACAACCTAACAGCCCACCGCTTTACTACGACTCTTCGAAATGAGATCGATCTATTGCATAGAAATGGAAATACCATCGAGAAGTCCACATCAAGTCAATATTTTGCCACTCGTTTACACTCGTTTCTACCCTCGATATGCGCCACGGATCAGTTCTAGTAGCCATCACGGCTACCCTCTTTGCATCGCAAGTAATAGCAAAGAACGTCCCCTCAGCTCTCAAAGCCTTCTACAACAAGGCCAGAAGGGGCGGCGACTGCGCCGGTGCCGACGCTCTCCAAACGGGCTTCTTCAGCACCGAATGGAGCGGTGGTCACACCACCTACTGCACCAAATACCTCCCCACCGGCAAGGGCTTCTACCTCAAAGGTCCTGGGTTGGACCTGGCAAACATGGACATCGACTGCGACGGGGAGCAGAGCAGCGGCGACGGACGCTGCGGGTCGTCAACAGACACACAAGGCCAGACTCGGTGGGGTTTGAAACACCCAAGGAAGCACGGGGTGAGGGATCTCAACGCAAACATCCACCCGTATGTTGTCCTCGGGAACGAAGGCAGCTACAGCCCAACGTTTGATCCGCGGACGGTTGGCGTCGAGCCCCTGAGCATCGTGGCCGTCGTGTGCGGCGACGAGCTCGTCTACGGGGTTTGGGGCGACACCAACGGGGACGACAACGAGCATCCCATGGTTGGAGAAGCCAGTCTGGCGCTGGCGACCGCGTGCTATGGCTCGACTATCAGCGGTAACAGTGGCCATGATGAGGCGGATGTGCTGTACATTGCTTTTGCGGGCAATGAGGCTGTGCCTGCAAGGGCCAAGTGGGATGCAGACAGCTACGGGGCATTCGAGGAGAGCATCACTGCGCAAGGTGATAGGTTGGTCGCGCAGTTATTTGGCGACAAGTCAACAGTGACCGCTGGCTCTGATCCGCATCGCACCTCGACTTCCTCGATCGACAGCGACAGCGACAATAGCGACAATGACGATGATAACTCAGAACACAATCCCAAGTCCGGTGACACAATACGGAGCACAATACCACGAGTTTGCCACATCATTCTGGTTGTCTTGATCGCCTTGATCGCCCTTGCCTGATTCGTGGATTCGTAATCTATGAGATCTGCAAAGGGCATGCACGGTTTACTTTGGTAGAAATGAATGGAAATTTGAACATACACAGGGGGTGTTTGTAATTACTGACGATCTTGCTGCAAAATCTGATTTTCACATGTCATTGGATGGATTGGAATGATTTGCTTGCCTGCTCTCATAGTCCAAAGTCAATGATGTCGTCAACAGTCCTGGATCTCCACATACATCACCGGCCTTTCCGGGCGCGCCGAAGCCTACAGAACGGCCAGCAATCTATGATATAATTGACGGCAGCAATATTATAAATAGACTCAGATTCTACTAAGGTCCTCACGTACATATTCTACATCAAAAATATCCGTATATAAACATAGACAAACAAAATGGGCATCGATTTCACCGTGTACAAAGGTTCCTCCGACGGCACCATCAAAAAAGCCACCACGCACCGCGATGACCTGCAAGGCGACTCGGTCCTCGTGCGCATTACCCACTCCGGCGTCTGCTTTACGGACGTGCACTACATGAAGGCCGACATGGCGCTCGGCCACGAAGGCGCAGGGATTGTTGAGGCCACCGGCCCGGACGCCAAGCACCTGAAGAAAGGCGACCGAGTCGGCTGGGGCTACGAGCACGACTGCTGCGGGAGTTGCAGGCAGTGTTTGACGGGCTGGGAGACGTTCTGTCCCGAGCGCAAATTCTACGGATACGCCGATCTCGACCAGGGCTCGTTTGCGACGCACGCCGTCTGGCGCGAGGCCTTCCTCTTCAAGGTCCCCGATGCGATCAGCAACCAGGACGCGGCGCCGCTGATGTGCGGCGGCTCAACGGTGTGGAATGCCATAATGGTCGGCAACGTGAAACCAGTGTCGCGTGTGGGGATCGTGGGGATCGGTGGCCTGGGCCATCTGGCCATCCAGTTTGCGGCCAAGATGGGCTGCGAGGTGGTTGTGTTCTCCGGCAGCGACAGCAAGAAGGAGGAGGCGATCAAGCTGGGCGCGTCGGAGTTTTATGCGACCAAGGGCGCCACGGAGCTCAAGGTCAGCAAGCCGCTGGATAACCTCATCATCACGATGAGCGCTCAGCCGGACTGGAAGCTGTACCTTCCCATTCTGGCGCCGGGCGCGGTCATCTCCCCTCTGACAGTGGACGAAAAGGATCTGCAAATTCCATACATGCCTCTGCTGGTCAACGGGATCCGTATCCAAGGCGGTATAGTTGCAGCTCGCCAGCTGCATCGGGACATGCTTGACTTTGCGGCACACCACGGCATCAAGCCGATCATCATGACGTACCCGATGAGCGTGGAGGGAATTCAGGATTGTCTGAAAACGCTGCAGGATGGCAAGATGAGATATCGTGGGGTTTTGGTTGCAGACAAGCAGTAATTGGCAATATCATTATGGCAGTGAATATAGTTAGAAATTATTTATTGCATTCCATTTGAAGCAATTGTTTGTAAGGGAAGTTCTGGGACAGAAGTCAATTCAGCGGGAGTTCCGAGGAATGGCTGCCATTACTCATATGGCACAATATGCAGCAGATCTTCAACAATGGCCGGTTGGTCTAGTTGGTTATGACACATCGTTAACACCGATGGGGTCGCCGGATCGAGCCCGGCACTGGTCATTTTCTTTTTTTCCTTTTTCGACGTTTACTTTCTAGACCCATTGCAGTTTGGATAGAATCCTCAGAAAATCCTGCGGTTTCAAAAGGTCTAACGCTCTGCTCTGTTCGTTATTAGGTTTCTGATCCTGAATCTACTTTGGTGGATACTCTTCCAGTTGTTCTGCCTATCAATGGCGTCATAAAATTGACGGTGATCAGAGGCCAGAACTTGGCCATCCATGAACATCCTTATGGAAAATGAGCAGCTTAAGCGGCAAAAAGGAACCAATAAGGATGAGACGTTACGCACGCAGTCCGAATTGGCGCTGGAGGATTGGGGCAGCTCTAGATCCCGCTGGAGTCGATGGATGGGGCAGACGCTATCATTGGCTTCGGGAAGGCGCCACTTCAAGGTTATTGCTGAGTGGCACGCGTCCTGCGGGGCCATGGGACAATCAGGCCTGTCTCGTTCTTGTCCTTAAAAAGCGCCGAGTGAGCGTCATCTTGCTGTCGTCGTGTGGGTGTGTGGATTTGACAGCCATATGTCCTATTGACAGCATTGCGCTGATGCCGCTTTTTCAGCCTTGGACCCGTCTTCCATCGCGACGGATTTATCTCATCTCACCTGTCATTGGGCTTCTTCTGGTTTACTTTTTCTTCGCCTTTGACACGGATGTATTCACTCCCCGGGTCGTCGTCACCCCGATCTCGCCACAACAAGAACCAGCCACATGTCCCCCACTCCCAGGCATTGAGGATGTTCTGGTTATTCTGAAAACTGGCGTCACAGAAGCACTGGAGAAAGTGCCGGTTCACTTCCAAACAACCCTGCGATGCATTCCCAATTACGTGGTATTCTCAGACTTTGAGGAGGAAATCAACGGAACCCACGCGCACGATGTACTGCGCAGCGTCAACGAGACCATCAAACGGACCAACCCGGACTTTGATCTCTACAACCGCATACATGAGCATGGACGCAGCGGGCTCTCGCCGGCCGATCTCAGCCGCGTCCCCAACACCGCATTCGGGATGCCCGACAACCCCGGCTGGAAGCTGGATAAATGGAAGTTCCTCCCCATGATCGACGAAACACTTCAGGTGCGCGACGACGCCAAATGGTACGTCTTTATGGAGGCGGACACATACTATATCTGGTCGAATCTCCTGCAGTGGTTGGCGAAACTCGATCCGAACAAACCTTACTACCTGGGTAATCCGACGCAGATTGGCCCTGATATCTTCGGCCATGGTGGGTCGGGGTTTATACTGTCGCGCGAAGCCATGCGTAGAGCATCAGAACTACGAGCTGAAGATGTCGACGGATGGGACCGATATACCGGGGAGCAGTGGGCTGGTGACTGCGTGCTGGGGAGGCTACTGCATGACGCGGGAGTACCCTTGTTGTGGTCGTGGCCCATGCTGCAGTCAAATACCCCCGCAGAGTTTGATCACTTTTCCGAGGCTTATTCCAAAAAGCCGTGGTGTTTCCCTGCGGTTTCGTATCACCATGTGACGGCGAAGGATATCCAAGAGATAGCGAAGTTTGACCAGAGGTTCATGCAGAACGTAAGTTCTTCGCCAGATGTCTTGTGGAAACAACTAACGGGAGAAGAATTCTATCATATTGCACAGTGACGTGTTTCGTCATCTCGTCCACCCACAGTTCAAGCCTCTACAACCCGACTGGGATAACCTCTCTGACGAGGAGCACGTCATTGGTGAGGCTAGCTGTCAGGAGTTGTGTGCAAGCAAACCTGAATGTCTCCAGTATTTGTATGAGGCCGGGAAGTGTCGCACTTCCAAAATGGCCAAAATAGGAGCCCCCAAGACTGGAGTTTCCTCTGGGTGGATGACTGACCGGATTGACGCCATTGTAAAAGAGCTGGGCTCTTGCACGAAACCGCAATGGGTTCTCCCATAGCTCAATAAACAAATTTGTACATACTCGCATTCTCGTCAGGCTGGACCCTGTCTGTTTATCATCATGTCCTTACTACTCTTCTACATTATAGAATACATACAAGAAGCAATTCCGAAACCACCATTCATTCTCTCGCTTAGAGCCAACCAGTCTTTCAAGGTTCGATAATGACCGATACCTGAAGGCTTCGACGCATCATCCGCACTTCGTATCCTCCCATTGTCGCAATACTCGTAGCCATGCCCATTAGAATGCTGCCTCCTGCACCAAGCGCCCCACAGGCGATCGGAAAATGCCCTTGGTTTGATACTCGCCCATGCTCATCATACCTCTATCGAGCGCTTTCTGCACAACGCACGTAGAGATGTAATTCAAGTGTCTGACAGACGCGATCCTTGGATTGTTTGCTGTCGTGGCCTTCTCCAGCTACCAAGTCAGCTCTTTGTTGCAGTCCTATGCAACCATAGGGACAACTTGCGTCATGGTACAGGCTTAGTATCTAGAATTCAGCTTCGAAGGTACATAGGAAGACGATTGATACCATGCTGTCGATCCACAGATCAGCGAGTGCACGGTCCCATGATGCGGGCAAAAGGGGGTGGGGCTTCGTGGCTCGTGGGCCCGTGGCCCGTTAGGACGAACTGGACAAAGTGTTTGAGGTGTTGGCTTGGATAAATAAATTCGTGCAACTGCCATGATCATCGCCTATTTGGTCCCTAAGAAAAATAAGACTTGATGTATTTGTAATTCCTCTGCAGGAGTCAGCATTTCACCATATTGCACGGAAAGCACTGTAGGTCAAGATATAAAATGTTATATCGGCAAGCGGTTGTGTAACTAGCAAATTCAGGAGGATGGTTACACTTAAAAAAGACAAGAGACCCCTGTAATATAACATTTCCCAGAATAAAATTGATAGGTAAGCCGTGTGTCTATAGCAAGATTAACTAGTTGTTCACAATGCTCTTAAGCCCGAGTGGACAACTACCTGACACCAAAAATGGACTACAGCCTACGAATCGATCTACGCAAATGGGGTAAAAAAGTTCGGTTGATGAATTGATTGATTCCAAGTCCCAACTAGAGAAAGGAAGAATATCTACCAGACTCCAACAAAAATTCAAATTGGTATAGCTCCCTTCCTAAACTCCATACGTTCCCCAAGGCAGGCACCAGTAAAAAACCCTTTGCTTGTAAAACCTCTGGAGTAATAGATGACTCTCGAGAGGAAACCAAGCAAAAGGAAAAAGGTATGCCTGCCCGTTCGATTCGAATTCGAAAAGTGGACTAGATGTCGTTCTGATAAGTCGTTGTTGAAATAATTCGCCGTCTGTCGTATGAATCGTGGCCAATTTGGGATTCATGAAGTAACCAATGTCCTGGGATGGGTATTTGCGCAATATGGGTGTAAAACAAGCGATGTGTTATCGTCTTCGATTGACATTCTGATTTCAATATAGGCGAGAAGGGGAGATCGAGGGCTTGAAGCGAGTACCAGGAATTGGTGTGATTTTCCGGTCCATAATGTCGCGGAAGAACCGGCGAAAATACGAGTACACCTCGTTCGTCTTTGTACCGCTGTCGGGACGCAGGATGGTTCGGTGGAATGAGATCTATTGAATGTTGGCGTGCTATTCATGCTGATGCGCGGAAACCGGGTATCGTACCATATCGTTGTCGTCGATCTCCAGGAAGTAGAATTCTTTTCCGTTGGTCGCAACGCCGTAGACCGAGGTGAGCCGTTTGTTTTCAGTCTTTCGAGCGTCATGGCAGAGTGCTATAATGTGTTAGCAACATTCCCACTAAATAGTTGCGTATGGAACTTACCCATGAATGAGATGCACTGCCAGAGGATGGTCGACGGCCACAGATTGACGCAGATGACAACGCCGATACCATTGCCAGGCTCCGCGGCGTTGTTCACAACGAAATCAAGCTCTCCTTCAATCGGGAATCTGACGCCCAGTGCCTCGACTTCTTGTTCAAAACCTCTACACCGAGGAATGGAAAGGACTGCTGAAGAGCGTTTGGCGGGGTTCTGTTTGCGATAGTCGAGCTCCTCCACGTAGCAGTGATTTAGGATTGCTCTGATTCGTTTGCAGGAGGTTTCGTGGTCGAGATACTGCGGATCGTTCTTGTCTAATATAGCTAGATTGCGTACTGATGATAGTCGGTCTCCGAGTTTTGCTGACGATAATAAAGGCGTGTGTGCTTGTGCTTACCGAGGCTGGGCGGGATGGGGGCCTTTTCGTTCTGTTCTAGGGTCCACAGTCCACGTGGATTTGGGTGACGAGACAGGCCGAACAATGGGTAGAGCGTATGGGAAAGGAACTCTTCCGTGACCTCATCCGGAGTTGGAGCTCTCTGTCGTAGAGGAGGTGAAGGAGGCGAGGGCCCCTTTCGTCCAACAAAGGGCCATTCGGGGTCGTCTTCTTCGTTCTCTGAGGGCGGTGTCTCTGTAGGAGTGATCAATGACCACGCCTGTGAAGGTGATGTTGCTGTTGATATTGCTGTTGATGGTGCTGCTGACGAGGTCATTCCTGACCATGCTTTCAAGGGTCTAATAGTCTTGGCGAGCTCTGTGAGGATCATGTTCATAGTGGACAGTTTGTCGATGACTATGCTTTTGAGGTCGATCTCGCTGTTGGCAAGATTGTGGATGACTGTGTCTTCGATGGCGATGTCCATGTTGGCGAGGTCGTCGGCGATCTTATTTCTGAGGATGATATTGCTGTTGAGAAGGTCGTTGATCAGCATGTCGTCGAGGGTCTTGTCGTTGATGGAATTGTGTCTGATTGTCATGTTGTTTGTCGTTGTTGTTGTCGTTGTTTGTCAATGTTGTCGATGTTGTCGATGTTGGCGATGTTGTCGGATGGACGAAATGAGCAGGAAAGCAGAGCTGGAAGACGGGGTTCTTATGGTGCTGCCTGTTGATGATGGGTATGCGCTCATTTAGTCTCGTAACCACGGTAGAATCCGTCTTTCGATGGTTGAAGTTCTAAAAATAAGACATTCTCAAGTTTCCCAGGGCTAGCCACATAAGCGTTTATGAAAATGATGCAAGCATGAGCGTATATGCTTAGGGGAACGTTGTTTGAGAGAAAAGTGTCCAGAGGCGGAGGCTTCGTCTTCGTTCTATCTCTTCAAAATGCCTGTCTTATTTCCTTCCTCATGCCGACTCTAAGAGTTTATCGTATTGTTGCTCAAGCAGCACTGGTCTGTACTATTCTTGTCCTCCCAGAAAAGCAAATGATATCCTCACAGGACTAGAAAGTCTTTCTTGTACAAGACGTCTTGATGAAATCATACCTTCATTCGACTAGTCTAGTCACCTATAGACTGCAGAACCTTCCAGTCTGTCATGGAAAGAAAACTCTTACGATAAGGGTCAGAGACATAAATAGTTACACTACTAGATGCTTCTATGTTGGAAACCGCCAAACATCGGTTCAGTTCTCCACATATTTTAAGGTTATCAGTTTATCTCCGTTCTCCCCGCATATACACAGATTGTCCAACCTTATCCTGCCAAGCACCAGAAGCCCCGTACAACACCCCCATAGCCTGCAGCTTGCAGGAAATCTGGCTTGATAAGCTGTTTTCTCCTCATCGTGATGGCCAACAGCTGTGAGATATTTAAGCACGCCGGTTCCTAACTATTTTCAATCTGGCACCATCCGTTGATCTACAGAGAGCGCTAGCTCTTCAAGCAGTTAAAGCCCTACGTACAGTCCTAAAAAGCGATGCATCAGGCAATATCCACTTCGAAAGCCACAATAGAAACTATGCGGCCATGCGACGTTGAGCTCGCCATACGGACCAATAAGAGAGATCCCCAACTAGCAGAATCCAAGGTATAAAATGGGGGTGTTTCCCACGTCTATCAAACAATGGCATTCGAACGGACCAGCTCAATTCAATTTGAGGTCAGACTTGCCACCGTATTCATAGGTTCAGTTCATCCTTTCTTTCGCATATTACAGACAAAATTAGCTGACTGTTATCTTCCAGTTTGATACCGACCCCAAATTCAACATCTTACGGTTGTCTCAGAACAATAGTGACTCATGGACGCTTTTCCAGCTGTGTTTGATTTTATTCCTGGATATCTTTGCTCTCTACGAAAGATATACCTCGGGCAAATGGTCAGGACTGGCAAAGTCCTGTGTGGTGTGCTCGCATTCAGTCTTGGATTGACGTTGTGCTGAATACTCTGAGACAACAACTGTTCTGACCACATCAGTTATAGAGGAGTGGAACAACTCGAGCACCGGGTATACATCCCATATACCAAAAGAACGGATGATTTTTTGGCCAGCCACACGAGCATAACGATTCAAAGCATCAAGCAGACGATCGTCACCGACGCTGAGATCATTCCCACCGCAAAAACAGCAGTGGAAGTCTACGGGTTTATCGCAGATTATTGATAAGAAGAGCTAATGGACCATGGTTTAGGGGTATAACACTGCATTCATATATGAACTAGGTCTTGGACAGGGCCTAGGTTTGATTCCTAGCCAGCCTACTCCTTTTTATAGTTTCTTTTTGTAATAGCATAATTCTTTCTCTACTGCTACTATACTTAGAGATTCAGCTAACTAGTCAAGATGTAAGACATGCCTCTTAAGTCTTTAAAGTGTGCATTTATTTTGAATTATTTAAAAGAGAATTGGCTATACTTTCTACAGGCCAACCTGTCTTTTGCCCCCAAATGCTCATCTCATCTACAATTTCACTTAGTTTCCGGGCATCTTTCAGCCACGGCCCACCTATTATTATAAGTATACCCCATCACCAAGAAAGGAATGCAGAAGTCTTACAGAAAGCTATAGGCCCAAAGGAATTAACCCAAACAGGCGCAGACCTACTCGACAGGGCCAAAGCGCATACAATCGTGGCGTGGTGTACTAGTTTGCTCTCCAGACAGTTGATCCTTTCGATGTGCTGCAGAGTGTTGGCTGATACAGGACAAGGTTCTGCAAGCCATAGGATAATCATAGCTGTGTGATAGTATTGTAGACCGGCAGCTGCGACTATCAGTAAACTAAAGGCATATAAATATAGGAGGGATGCGCACCGTGCCAGCCTGAGGTCGTCCACATACTCGGAAAGCTGCTATTGGGGAGCAGATGCGGTGTGAGGATGGGATCAAATGACGAAGGAAGCGATATCCTCCAGTCCTCGAGCTGATCTCTCAGGCTGTTCCACTCGCATTGGTCCAGGGGAGCAGCATCACGTAGAAGACACCTGTTGATGACTCTTCCCAGGAGATACGTGATGCGATTGGCGAGATCGTCGTCGCATTCAATCCTCGTAGGCAGAGGCTCATCCGGGAGCTGAATCATGAGGCTGCGTTTTTCTAGGAGTGCGACAGTGATATCCTCTCTCAAGTAATTCCAAAAACCGGCACTCAACAATCCGGACTCTAGTTCTATTGGATGATTCGCCAGCAACGAATAGGACCCTTGAAGGTGATTCTGGCAGGTAACATTTTCTAAAAACCGTCAAGATTAGAGCTTCAGCTGGTATATATGCAATTCATCGTAGTGATCATACTTACGCGAGATAATTTCGTATGATCGAAGAAGACATATAGCAGCCAAGGTCTCGCCTGTTCGAAACTCATCAGGATGCTTCATGAGAGCCAAGAGTCTTCTCACACTCTCGAGATGATATGCATCGGCTAGATCCCTGAGGGGAGTCGATCCGGATGATGAGCTCTGGCTGGCTGCCGCGAAGGCCAGTATTGCGCTGAGGAGTAAGGCATTCTTTCTTGCGAGGATAGGAACTATGTCCGTAAAGTGACGTCTTCGATCATTCAGATCGTACCAACCTGCGAGATTATCGATATAAGATCGAAATATGTGAGCTACTCGTGGATCCTCTAACGCTTTCGTAGGGTCGCTAGTTGGGACATATTCATCGCTTCTGGATACCAGGACATCTAGACTTGCTTGAGTACAATAGTCTGGCGATGTTGCAGACTGGCCCAGCTGGTTTGAGGGTTCTATTGATCGGGAAGACCGGCGAACACCGTCGCTCCATGAACAAGGTCGTTTGCTTCGTTGACAACGCTGGCAATTGGGACGATTTCCATCACCTGAGATAAAAAATGCAAATGAGCTGAGAGGACCCAGAGCAAAAGAAAAAGAGGCTTACACTTGATCTTTCGCAGGCGACACGGTTGGCTACAAGTACGGTCAGCGACCAGCTTGACAACTTGGCGTCACATTATCACGAACCAGCCTGACAAGACGATGTTAGTAACTTTGCGCAACAACAGAGCTTAGATGGAGAACAAACGATCTGTGCGAAATGGGCGTGGCATCGGTAGTTGCCTTTCAAGCTTCAGCTCGCATTACTGAGAATTCAGATACGAAGCTTCGCAATTCAAATGCGGGGGACTCAAAAGTGTCCACCACTAGCTCGGTACCATAAAACGAACCTAAGTACGATTGTTCTTGCTATTTTGCTTGAATTTAGGTTTTAACTTACATATTCCACACCCTTTTCTCTCTAATGAACTCCGTATGAGTGGCTGGTTACTACCCCCACATGGCCTCCGCATTAATGCGAAATGCGAAAGGCGAAAGACGAGGAGGCATGACAACTAATTCGGGTCTGAGGTATAAATATGGCGGCCATTGACAAAGTTGAAGTATTATTACCATGGTCACTCGTACATCAGCGTATAGCTAGCGATGCAAAGACTTGCATTTCGATTAAGTCGTTGGTCTCACTGCGCCTGCACGATAAGTAAGCTCCGCGTTCGGGTACAGCAAAGGATGGCTTCCAGCTATCCCACCAGCATTTGCCCTTCTGCAACAGAGATCATGAACGGGCAGCTCTCCCATCAGAACATGGAGATTGCGATTCGCAGTCTGTACCACGATGGTCTAGTTGTGGTCGAGAATGCAGTGCCGCATGCCGTACTCGATCGGCTTAACGAGAAGATGGTGCAGGACGCATATACCCTGCAGAGCAGAAAGGATAATAGCCCATATAATTATAACCGGGGCAATATACAGCAGGATCCTCCGCCCGTGAAAGATTACTTCAATCCTGACATTTTTCTGAGTAAGTGTCGTTCCCCACGGCGAGATCAGATCCTGCTAACAGTCTCTTGCTAGACCCATTTGCCATGCAGATAACAAACACTGCCCTCGGCCCTCGTCCAAAATGGACGTTTTGCTCGGGAAATACAGCCATGCCTCCGACAGCAGACTGTCCCCCGATATCGCAGCCGGTCCATTCAGACGCAGACTTTGACCACCCAACGCACCCCTTTGCCTATGTCGTCAACGTCCCCTTGATCGAGATGACTCCGGAGAACGGCTCCACCGAGATCTGGCTCGGAACTCACATCGACTCAGGCCTGCATGTTCAAGAAGGAATGCACGGTGACCGAGCAAGCGGGCGCATCAAGCTTGACGAGTTGGAGAAGCGACGAGCGATCCGGCCGCCGTGCCAGCCTGTCGTCCCAAAGGGCGCCATAGTAGTTCGGGATCTTCGACTCTGGCATGCTGGAGTCGGTAATAAGACTGAGCAGGTCCGCGTAATGCTAGCAATGAGTAGGTTCTCTAGTGTCATCGGAACATGGTCAAGGCTAATGGACAGTTCACTTTGCTCCCTGGTACCGGAATCCGATGCGACTGGAATTTTCCGAGAGTGTACGGCCGATTATGGAGAAGCAGGACGGTCTCGAGGTGCCGGTTGACTGGGTGACTGATGAAGAAGCCATGTCGCGTTATCTAAATCGTGCATTCGGTAACGCATATGACTTCAACCAACAGCCTTAACAGGGATATATCCCAGATGTTGTCATGTGTGTTTCTCCTTAGCAAAGCCTGGGAGTGAACGCCGCGAAGGTGTGTCAGTTTGGAATATGTGTACATATTGGGAACAGTCCTACTGGTATGAGGATTTGGAACTCCAGCAGTCCAGCAGTATGCGCTTCGCTGTAATGATAAGTCATAGGCGTGCTGGCAACTCCTGTGGCTGCGGTCGCAATGGCTGGCTGTCCAGCTCTGGTCGATATGATCGACCGTCCAGCTCCTGCGGCCAACCACAACCCTTGGGCTGAATAATATAGGAGCCCTGAATCTCAGTCGGAGGGATAGCGCATTTATTGAGGCGTGTTGAGCGAGCTCTGTAGGTCCACATGAACCAGATAACAAAGGCAAGAATAGCTAATGCAATCACCCCTCCGGCAACACCGCCAGCAATTGCTGCTGTATTTGTGGAAGCTGCTGTTGGAGAAGACAAAAGTTCTGTTGAAGTAGACGCGGTCGTCTGTGCAGTCGTGGCTGATAACGAAGTGGACAATGAGGCCGAAAGCGAGGTGGTTGTGCTTATAGACGATGTTGACGGTGCAGTCGGAGAGGATATTGTCGGCGAAGAAGAAGCGACTAAGTGGCAGTGGCCTGTCAGTACCAGTGATCACATTCTTCCATGAGATACTCACCTGATCCAGACACTATAATTGATAAAGCAGTCTGTCCCTGCGGCAAGACCACGTCCAGCGGTGCGCAACCCACAAATCCATTTGAATTGACCTCAAACCCCTTCGCGTCCTGATCGCAGCAAAAGAAATCCACCGCAAAATACAAATCCAGTGTACTGTTTGCACAACGCTTCCCTTTGGGGCCTGATCGAGCCTTCCAGCATTCGTTGCCGTAGTCTCCCGGCCCGCAATATGTAGCCATAGGGCAGCAGTTGTGCCATTGTCCCCATGTCTGCCCGCAATCGAGTTCGGTACTCAAGCAGGTGTTATTCCTTCGAACAGCGAATCCGTCTGTCATTGGTAGGATAGAGGTAAGTCTGTCGACTAAATCGGAAACCAGTCATAACGAGGAAAAAGCATGGACTAAAGCACTTAAAGGAGAGGGTAAGCATCTATCACTGTCTCCAGCTTGACCGGCTTTCCCTTGAGCAACGAAGCGCTTACAGAACTATCCAATCCTGAGAAGAGATGATGCAGTTCACCACCTGAAAGCCAGGTCAAATCAGCCCAACTGGTTTTCGCGGGGTGGTGATTATCGAGGTTGTCGGCGGCTAAAACGCCAATAACTTCCACAATCTTTCTGGATGACATCCTAAGCGCCAGGGTATAGCATGCCAAGTGGCCTTGCTGACAGAGAATAGGGTTTACAAGGAGAGTACCCACCATTGATTGTCAGCAAGAAGCTGAGGGCATGATGAGGTTCTGGCCGTGAAGCCTTTCCAGAAGCTCTGGGGGACACAAGATATCCATTCCGCGGGCCATCCGCCACAATCAAGAAACACCTGGCAATATATTTATACAGCGACAAAGTTGGAACAAAGAACCCACGTTTTCTTAATCTCTAGCCGTCAAGCCTTGGTCCATCCCGGGTGTTCCGACCGTGGGGAACTGCGACAGCGACTGCCTCGTTGGATTGACTTTGACGCCCCGAGAAAGATCAACAAGACGGCGAACAAAAGTAGACTGCTCATAAATGTCTCGTTGCCAAGATGTAAAGCCTTTCTGGCAGTAGGTATGATGCCATCCTCGCTTATGATGGGCTTTGCCGGGGCTTTTGAGGATATAAAATAACTGTGCGATATGGGCTGGTCCTCTACATGGTGCTGTCCATGGCGCACCTCGTCACTTCCGTCTAACACATAGTCATCCGTTCGATATTCGTTTGGCGGTTCGTATTGTGGTCGTTCACCGGGTTGGTAGCTCTGGTCTTGCTCGCGCTGCCATCGTTCATAGTCGGTTTCGGGTCGCTTGCTCTTCCACACGTTGTCAGATAGGATTCGTTGTGTGGGTGTGTCTGCCATGACCTTAAGTGGAGCCATTGAGTGTTTGAGCAGTGCAGACAGAAGTAGAACAAGTCTTGCTGGCAAAGCTTTCAGACGTCGAGAATGATTCAGGCTTCTCAGAACATGGGGGACTGCGATTGATAATAGATTGCGATAATGATCATATGTTCCTCGATGATCGTTCCCATATGGTATGGAAAAGAAAGTACTTTTACGAAGTGAATGCGCGGGATCTGTCCTTCCGAGTCAGTGATTGAGCTAGACTAAAAACTAGTCTGTTAAAGATTCGTTTGATCGTCGACAGCATTAGCCAGTCCCAGGCTGAGCCCAGCAATTCAGCAATGTCAGCATGTGCTTACTTTCCTAACTCGGATCAAGGCTTACTACAACACACTACGGAGAACCCGATGGTTATCCAATGAAACAGCCCAGCGATCTTGGACCCTTGTCAGTAGGTAGGTGGCGTCTCCTGCAATTGAACCAACAGCAGGGGTGTGTTTTTGCGAAGCGCCCTATCTGGCCATAGTAATGTAGATCAAGAGCGGACATGTTTGTCAAGCTCTGTCGGATCCATGGACGATCCTCGGGGCAACCTCGATGTCTCTTAGTCCTGTCAACATCGTATATCTGCAAATGAGTTGTCATGTCTTAGATTACCAATGTCGGTCACAAGGGGAAAGATGAGCCTACCTCAGAGTTGTGATGCATCGTCCCGTGTGCCCTTTTGGCTATCTTTCTTTGTGGACTAGGCGCATCTGCCGATGTTTCCGGGCCTAATGCATCTATCGCCTGGATTGGCGAATGGGCGACTCACATCCAGAGCGCCACTCGCAGGGTTCACAATGAAACCAGCATTACTCGATATGGTCAAGCAGCGGGGTCTGCCGCCTGCCAGTGACCTGCCCGGTGCATCCATAGCCCACTCTGACTCATTTAGGGTCAAGATTCCACGGCCCTCCCGGGTCCCTGACCAGGTAACGCTACTCTGTAAGACAAATACTCTGATGCCAGTGAGGCTTGCCAGTCTGCGGTGTATGGCGTATACCCAAGCCTTACAAAGCCCCTTTTCCATGTTCTCACACAGATTCATCATCATAACTGCGATGCGCACGCGATTCATCAGGGTAAATAGTGGATTACCATAATCTGGCCCTTGTTCTTAGCCTCGTCGCGTTAACTGTTGACAACAGAAATGCCTGAAGGGAAGGCATCTCTAAGGAATACATGACAATACTGACTTTGAACTGGAGTATGGCTTATGCATGCTTCCCGTCAACACTCTGCAGCTCACCAAACCAGTGTCTACTAAGTGTTGCCTCTTTATAAGGTGAAATATGACTAGAGAAGAGGTCATCCAAAGTGGGTTGTCTGGTTATCTTTAACAATAAGATAACGCCCATGAAAAGGACTCCCTCTCCCCAAATACATGGAGGCCTTGCCATAAGAAAATAACCTGGACATTTCCCTATTTCACTGAAATATCTTGTACATTATTCTATCCAGGTTATGATGACAAATATGCAAGCACAAATATGCCCCCACGATGTAGCCTGGGAACAAGCCGAGGAAATATCTGACAACTGGCTAGCTCAATTTCTCAAGCTGGAAAATCTTGAGACCAATCGCGGTTTTCATCCTTACTCACAACAGAGGCAATGCGACCGAGTTTGCCATACTCCGAAAAGGCTCTTATAACATCTCTCTACGGATGAAGTACCGAAAAGGCGCCACCGTTATACGCTTCTCGCAGCCTGGTGTCGTTTTCGTTCCTGAGGAGAAAGTCATGAAAATGCGATTTCTGGCACACCAGACGTCAATACCAATTCCATTTATTCTTCACTCGGGTACAAAGAAGGAGAGTCTCCTCGAACTAGGCCCATATATTATGATGGATTATATCCAAAAGAAAAGAAAATGTACGACGCTCTCAACCCGTCGGGATGTCCAAAAGAGGAACGTAGAATTCTCGACGAAGACAAGCTTCAGATGTTCTACTTCGGCTTTCGACTCCCTCGTTGCCTTGGATAGGACCTCTCAGCCAGATTGATGACTTCAATTGGGAAGTAACACGCCAGTCTCTGTCAATGAACATGAATGAACTTGTACGACTGGGAGGTTTGCCGCGATCAAAACTTCCGAGTATAGATACTACGTGTAACACAGCTCCTTCATATTTCGAAGCCTTTGCGGACCTCAATATTGAGCACCTGATACACCAGAGAAATGATGCTGTGGAGTCTGCCGCCGACTATCGGCGAAAGTTTGAGGCACGGCAGATTTCCGTAAGCTCCCCAGGGACAAGCGACTCACCAATCCATCGTTCTAGAACGGGCCTTTCAGACTCTGGTGCGATGATTGACGACCGGCTAATGTACTACTCAAAGAGAATATGCAGTATCGTCGGAGTAGTGGATTGGGAGTTCACATACGCAGCACCGGCTGACTTTCCGTATGCGCCGCCTTGCTGGTTGCTTATTGAGAAGCCTGAGTTCTGGCCAAAGGGCATTGAGAACTGGACTTGAGGATTTGACCGTCGCCTGAAGACATTTCTCAGGGCGATGAGGGCTTGTGAAGACAAAGCGATCCAGAAGGGTCGTTTGAAGGAAGACCAGCGGCTCTCCGGTCCTATGCAACAGAGCTGGGAGAGTGGAGATTTCTGAATCATGTATGCAGTGTTGCACAGCTTTGCCTTTGATGCAATCTTGGCAGAAGATTGATCCACCGTTTTTTGGGCCCACTGAGAGCCCCGAGAAAGCGTGGAAGGATAGACTCGGTCTGCTGGATGAGAAAGAAGAATATGAGATGGAACAACTGGTGGCTCGGAAGCTAGAAGAAACGAAAACCAGGGTTTTGGCATGGGACCCAGATGAGTACTCCGTATACTGTGGCTTTTCGTCAGCAGATGAAGAGACGGAGAGAAAGAGGCAGAACAAGAGAGAGCCAATGCGGATGAACCGGATGAAACCGACAAGGTGGAGAACAGCCGAGTGAAAGAGGAAAAGAGACAAGCTGGCCACCACGCACTGTCCCGACTTGTCTTGGATGCCATGCGTGGTTTCATAGGGTACCACCTTTTGCAGTTCTATTCTCTTCACTGTGTTTTATGCCAGGATCTTGCCTTCTTGATCATCTTGCTGTCGAGCCTTTCTTAGTGGCTGATTTGGACGTTCCTTTCTGTATGATCCACAGCCAATTTTATACCCTCCTGCATGTCGCTCTGGAAGAGCGACTATTATCACATCCAGGCGCAGTAGATACCACCAAGTAGAGAAATCGCAAAAGACTAGTTGACATCACCCAACGGAGCAATAATGTCTCACCATTGACATTGGACTGTTCGAGTGTTCCGACGTACGGATCTCCTTTTTGAGATAGCGATCGCCGCTTTGCACCAAATTCCATAAACGATAAGTCAGCTATCCATGGTTGACCCAGAATGCTGAACACCAGCACGTTGAACTCCAAGTCTCCGTGACTGGGAAATGTTTGGTAGAAGACGATCCACGTTGAGATGACGACGACTGCCGGTGGTGGGTCCATCACATAACTCTAACTTGGTTCGACCCGGGAACCTTTGGGATATTGCCAGGTACGTTCCCAGCATAAGTAAAGCCCAATTTTAGGGATCGGCAATTAGGTCCGGGAGTGGCTGCCTCTAGGAACAGGCAAGCATCCGGCTGCTAATTTGGTACGAACCCTTCTGTTGCTCAGTGCCCTGGATAGTGGAGTATTAATGATTGTTCCTTGTGGGACTGGTTAGGTCTCAATGGATCAGCCCTGGTAAGGTTTGGACTCTTGTCTTTATTGCAGATCGTTATTCAAATCCACCTACTGTCTATATGCTGCTGCCCTCCGCCAATAATCACAAAGGACCAGGCTCAAAAAATGTACAATCCGATCTCTGCGAATTGGATCGGCCAGCCCTTTCCCTGTCCCACACCTCCCATTCAGGCTCAATCTCTGGTAGGCCTAAATGGCAATGAACTTGTGGCGCACTTGGGTCGATACCAAGGCCTGAGGGCTTTGGTCTTTCTGGTTCGAGTTCAAGGATAGAATGACCACAGCTCCAACTATCCCAGGCGGATATAAATGTCCCTACAGTACCCCCCCCGATTGTAAACCTGCCTAATATCATTCTTGCCAATACGTTCTTCCTCTTGAGTACCAGCCATATCTACCTGGCCTTCAAAATGAAGTTCAGCATTATTGCTCTCGCCTTCATCGGCTCTGCCCTGGCCGCCCCTGGTGCCTCTACCCCCACTCCTTCTTCTACCCCAGCGGCTTCTTCCTCTTATGCGGCTTCCTCCAGTTGTATAGCCTCAACCACTGCCAGTCCTTCAGCTACTCCCACCTTTCAGCCAGGCTGCGACCTTGAGCACGCGGGCAACAACGGCAAGCATCTTGGATGGTGCAAGAAGGCCAGGCCCTACACCTACATGAATGGAACAAGCATCTAAACCTACCAAGTGGTCCAACCCGCAAACTGCCAATATCAACGCCCTCATTCATGAAACCATGCCTCCAGTGCATAGGTATACCGGTGAGGGCAGAGTCCTCGAATGGTATTAAACTCTGGAAACTTCTTTGAATGGAACGAACGCTGTGTGTCGTTTGTTACTTGGAGGATTTCCTCTTTTCAGTTGATGTCATTCCCTGTACTTGAATCTTCTTGCGGTATACTACTGGTATCCAAGGCCTTGCAATCCGGTTCTAGATGTTTATATGAACCACAATAACTGCGATTGATTCTACGTATGGACATTGGCCGGTAGTCACGAGGAGCAATAACTGCTGTAGTTTGTGTGGCTAGATTGATTTTTCCCTTAGCGTGCTGCTCATGTCTCCGTAGACGTGTAAGAGATGACGAGTCGCTGATATTTATATCGGGACCATGCCTGTATGCGCTGGTGGGGGGACTGTTTTTGCTGTACCCCGGCCTCAAGTTGAAGATCAAGGCAATCGCTGAGGCAAAGCCAGTCTATGCCGAAATTTGAATTTTATTTGCTTGCAGTCTAGATGTTGCTGTATCTATTCTGCACGCATGTATGAGTTTACATCCTTCCACCAAATATCTACAGATATAGTTTGGGAATAATACGAGTACTCCGGGAGGTCGAATTGTTCACTTGAACTAGCGAAAGGGAAAGTGAACAGCGATCGTACTTCCCATGTCGCGGAAGAAACATCAGCTCTAATGTATTCCACTTCTCATGCTATGCCTCAACCAGACGAAGCACATCGGCTACCAAAAGATCGAAGTCCCAGAGAACCAACTAGCAAAGTCGAAGACCACTTACAAACATCCTTGATATCAGCCCTTGAAATCTGTGTTTGTGAGATTCAAACTGGCAAAAAGCAACGCAATAGATAACCGTCCGCCGACAGAGCAACTAGTACACCAAGATCTCCTCATCTTTGGCTCCCGCATCCCTCCATTTACTAAGCACCTTCTTCATATCCGCCGCGACCTTCTGAGTATAATCAGGCCCAGGGCCTCCGGCAGGCACATCCGCCGGGTTGCCCCTCACCCAAGCAACGGGTTCTTTAGCAACACCAGCGAACTTCTTCTTAAGCTCTTCAACCTGCTGAGGCTCATAGCCGCGACCGAAGATCACCGCGCGAGGAGGCCGGCTGTAATCGTGGGTTCCGACCTCGTTGGGGTTCTGAGACTGGGGATCGCGACCCGCAAGCAGATGCGGGAGCTCAGCCTCAGCGGCCTCATCCGACTGGATGAAATGGATGACTGAAGCGCATTAACACCATGCTTTTGGTCATTTCGGGAATGTATATCAAGAACCTTCATATTCAGGCAGCAGGTGCTGGGAGACTGATTTTCCGACTGCGGTTCTTCGGCCGCAGGCGACTACTGGAATCGGCTGAGTGAACGAAGACATGTTGCGAGAGAGCTGTACGCTGCGGATGAAAGTATTTCGGAGCATTGGAGATGGAGAGTTAGGGAGTAAGCCCGGGCCGATGATTTAATTTATATTCCTCATTGCGGCGCACACAGTCTTGATCAAGAAGATGTTCGGACGGCGCACAAGAGACCGATCTCCGACGCCGAGCCAACGTACGAACGTGGGAGGTTCAAAGCTCAATACGAGATGGATTTGTCATCCAGTTACCCAGTGGCTAGTTAAAGTATGCTTGGTAGCAGTAGGTATAGACTACAAGGTAGACTCCAATCTAGAAAGATTTCAGGTAGAATAGGAGCAGCTTACATAGTAACTTCGGTAGATAATAGTAAGTAATAAGTACATATTATATAACATAAGAATAAGACAGCATAGCTCCTCTAATGGAAGTAAGTTATGTAGTATATATCAATTTTCCTGGTAAGGTAAATAAGCTTAACTATAGATCATGGTATTTACTAAATAGGAACTCATCACTATAGGTAGAACCTGGAAGATCACTTAACTCTATTCAATAATGTGATGGGTAGCAGATAGCTGGAAAGGGCTATGGTATCCTTAGCTAGTTCCCTATACTAAACTATAGAGACCTTATTTCTATTTAAATGACCTGAAGTGCTGCTGAACTCAGGGACTAGGAACGTTCTGGAATTTCTGTTCGCTCAATACTTTCTATACGCGTGCCTGAAGAGCCAGCGCTGGATTCATTCGACTACTCTCGGTAACGGTGGAAGATATCGTCCCTGACTCCACCAACATGTAATACATTGAGACTAAGATTACAGGATGTTTGCCACGGGCCATCCACTATTCCCTTTCCCAAACTCATCTTGATCTATCTTATGAACCCGCCAGTGTGTTGATCGATCTCCCGGTAAGGGAACTATTATTGAATTATCCTATATGCAATGCAAAGGTTCAACCACGGTGCTTTTAGTGCTAGGATGGATTTTACAAAAGCCTCAACATGAGCAAAGATGGTAATAGTTCTATTATTTAAGTAGATAATGTTCAGGAAGGAAAATCTTACCATATGTTGTTATTGATTGGGGATAAGAGCAGAGCTGCGGGCAACGCTACATATGCACATGTCAATGGGAATAAAATATAATATTCATGTGTTTGATTCAACGTTGCCAGTTGGATAGGGGAAAACATTCTCTTAATGGAAACGAAGAGTCTAATGTTGTTGTTTGACTATGCGCAGTACAGTCATCTCGCCAGTTTTCTGAAGGGATCGTCAATAGTTGTGTTCAGAGTGTTCTGGCATGCCTTCATTGAGAAATACTGTAGATGCCAGTACATTAACTACTCAAACCGCCGCCCTTGTTTGTACATGGATAATGATTCTCTACATCTCAGTAGTATTGACACCCGATGAGTTCGCTTATTTTATCCTGTATCCCCAACCAATCTAACCTGTTTTGCATTGGCTGCAGCCCCCCGCGTGATTTGTTGGCATCTTCCGTTAGCTGAGGTCTAGAACCCCTCCAATGCGGCGCGTAGGCTGTGCTTTTTTTTCCAAGTCTTCCTATTTGTACTCGACTTCTCGGAACTGCCTTTTCGTTCTCGATGGCGGACAACTTGAACCTGTTGGGGGTGGTGGGCACTTGGATAGCGGCTGTCCTTGGAATTATCGCGCTCGCCGGCATCTTGCCTGTCTATGTCCTCTACCGGCAGACGCAAACTGAGCGCCATATTGCGCTCAGCAAGGTGCATGACCCTCATAAGACGTACATAACCGCGGGATACTCGCTATGGCCGGGAAGGCGGTTCTTCCGATCATACAGTGTGCCCGACCTGACAGGCCCTCCAACATGGTCGCAGCTTACAGTCGTTGCAAGGGGGCGCTGCGAGGGGTTTGGAACAAATATTTTACGATCTTTGACAGGGTGGGTAAATTTTGCAAATATCCTGCAGGTATACGACATCAAGCCAGCCGGTTCCAAGGGGAAATTGACCTTCGCCCGTCAAGAAGCCTTACTGCCTGTCCATCGCGGTCTGTTGTTGCTGCTGGGAATAATTGACCGGTACTCGGATCAGACGCATCGGCCCGACAAGGGCCTGTTTGTTGGTGAAGCAGAAGAGGCAGAGATGGAGGAGTTTGGGCCCGGGGCCATCTTTGGCATTAGCGGCGTACTTGAACGTATTCTCGCGTCGCCTTTACTGCAGGAAGATGTCGAGTCTGGTCCCAGAGCGGTGGATAAAGTGGTGTTTCGGATGCATTCCGTACAGCACATGGCCAGAGTATCGGATTCTTTTCTACATGGCGACGATATGGATATTCCATCGTTGGTTGCCTTATATCTTGGCTATCTGGTTAGCGTTGATGGGAAAGAGCATTATGACCTTGAGACGCCGGATACCATGCTACCTGTGTACACTTCGAGCCACCGACGTGGTCCGGATGAGGATGATTCTCATAAGATCTGGATCTGGGACGAGAAACCACTGGACAGTCTACCGTCTCAACAAAGGAGACTGATGCAAGAGCTGGGAATTAAACTGCCGCGAGTCTTGAAGCTGAAGGAAATCGTAGCTCCCAACCAAGACATCTTCAGCCAGATGCCCCATGATGCTGCTCAAAGCTATCAAGTTATTTCGCACAAGGGGCAAGGAATCTGGATGACTCGGTCCAGTTTACATACTCTGGTGCTTGCGGTTTTGAGACTTAAAATTACTCCGCAGTCGTTTCTTTTCAATGACCCGCCCATTGGCCACAACATATTGAGCCATTTATTTTACTCGGGAAATTTAAGGATCTTCGCCGAGTCGACGGAAAAGTTTAGTAGGAACTTGGATGGCCTCACACAAAGGGAAAAACAGGAGCTGGAACGATCCTTGCTGAATTTGAAAGAAAATGCACCCGAAGACGATACTGAGATGGACTGGAGCCGTACGAGAATGGACGCCTGCATCTCACTGGACAAGGTGCTGAATGAGATTTGCCAAAAAAGGGGCAACCTTCTCTGTTGCATTATCTCCATCCTGTATATGCAAGAAGGTGACTTTCGATTTATATGCAATAGATACAGAAGATCCGACTACGATGACCCCGAAGTGCTTGCGAGGCAATTCATGGTGGACTTGTCGTCTAAAAAGGTCCTGGCGCCACTACCTTATATTGACGGCAAGCCTGAATTCGAGCAGTTCTATTTTGATTTCCCGACAGTCTTCTCGGACGCCGAGTTACTTGACGTCTGGCCGTCGCCTATGAACAGGTATCCAGTGCCTATTTCGTTGCCGCTCGTCATGATGGCATCTCTGCGGGGACACTTGAGGATGGCTATGTGGGACATGAAACTGCCTAGCTCACCACTGGTCGATTTCTATCGAACGCTGCGCAGTGGTATCGTGCATATTGCGCCCCAGGAAATACCACCACCAGGCTCTCTCTTGACGGAATTCTTTCCTCATCCTCCTCCTCCTCCTCCTCCTCCTCCTCCTCTTCTTCCTGTGCCTGAAGATACATACCAACTTTCTCGAGCCGGCAGCCCTGAATATGAGCCGCGTCAGCCCGGCGATTATAGAAGGAGAATTTATATCGAAAGCGAATATTCCCTGTCTGCTGACTCCACCCGAACAGATTCCGCCATTACAACATCATCATTCGCCCTGGAAGGCCACGCCGAAGATGGCTACGTGACCGCTCCAGAAGAAGATGCAGACGACGAGGTAACTGTTGCCATAAGGCAAAAGCCACTACCGCCACCATCGCCGGAGAATCCTGTCCCATCTTCTTCTGCGTCATCACAACATGCTGACCCAGCTCTTCTCTCGCATGATGAAGACGCAAAATGCGTAGTTCAGCTTTCTGTCCTGAGAAACTTGTTGACTAGCGATGAGGCGGTCAGAGTAAAAGGTCTCGAAAACATCGAGAGATCTATAGACAGACAAAGAAGAGAGTGGCAGACGCATGCGGGAATAATAGCATACAAAGACCGAGAAGAGAGGGAAAGGGCCTCAATGTATGCTCTTGATCGAGAGTACCCTACTACGAGACCTGGTCAGCGTCGGCGGTACAGAGAGTTCCCTTCTGACGGACCTAAGCGCAGGTCAGGATCGCGTCGTGATGGCAAACAAAAGGATCCAGCTTGGATGAGTATACTTGACCCACGAAATGAAGAACCTACGGAAGAAGTACTCAGGGGTATAATTGGGGTAACACGGCGTCATCGGAAAGAGAATAAAAGCCTCCAGTTCGATGATACCCCGATTAGGGCTCGCCGGTAGTGGGTAGCAATGATGTCTATGCATCAAAAGGGTGCGTTTGTGAATAATTGCATAAATCAGTCTTTCCAAAGAATGATGATTATTTTCCGGCGCTTCAGTGGTAAATGTGTGAAGTTCTGTTGGAGAAGCCCCTATAATCTCTAAACTATCCACAGCGGGCTCAGCTGTGATTTCCCAGGCTTGCAGGACTGAGCTGAACAAGCCAACACGGCTATATATTAACTTCTGCACCCCAACTCCAAAAATAATACGTACACATTGCACGCCAGGAGTAAACTATATGATATAAGTCTTGCTACTAGAGGTACTGTAATGGTCCACGGTGCGTCTAAAACTATGGATATTTCTATTATGGGGAATGTTGCTGCAAAGCATTATTATTACAAAATATGAATGGGGGTGTCTGGTTAAAGTACACAGAATAGGCACTTATTAGCCTGGTTAGCCTAATAGCTGCACCAGTCTCCTTAAATATTTAAGTAATATAGAACATAAGTAGTAGGCCTTTACATTGTGTATGTCTTAATAGTTACTATCTATAATAGACATTCTAGATATTAGTTATATACTTTCTTCTAGTGATGGTATTTACTAGCTACACACTAGTTGTACTTAAGATACCTGTTATGATAGGGGTTATTCTATGTGTGCATAGTGTGTCTATCGACTATTCGGGCTGCAGATCACTCCAAACTGTATCCTGATAAGCCACCATACCCTTATAGTAAGATATAGTTGGAAACAATATCATTATCCCAGCTTTTCTCGTAACGAACTCAAGATAATTACAGAGCCAATTATCACTCAAGCGAAGCTTACTAGAAGAGTAAGGACTTGTAGACTTGTTTAGAACTAACGAGCGACGAGTACTACATTGCTTAACATAGTATAGACATGATTCTCACGGAGAAGCCAGCAAGTTGGTCGATGTTGAATCCTTCCCAACCATACCTCACCCTCCTTTCCACACTGGACCTATACAACGCAAAAACATATCAGTGATGCTGGCCCAATAATCCTGCGGTGAATTGGTTACATACCGTTTCAACCCAATTGTAATCACTCTAGCACACGGCTGCGCCATCATTGGTGCCGTGGCATGTGGAAGCACGACAGTCTTGGATCTCTGTCCATTTGCCACCCTTGCACTGGACCTTTTCAAACGAATGACCATGAGCAAAGCTGGTCTGATCTTCCAACGGGACATGTTAACATACCACACCGGTCCTGTCGCAGCCGCAGAAATGCCTATCTCCGTTGGAGGCATTGCAAGGACTGTTCGTACGCCTTTGGTCACCGCCATAGCCAGCACCGCAGGTGTCCTGGACCTGGAACTCGCCTCGAGGGAGTGTGGACGCGCTGACGGCAGTGGCTGCCATGAGAGTGCAGAGGAGAGCTGTGAACTTCATGATGAAAGAGTAGATGTTTGTATATTGAAACGAGGTGTCTTGATAGAAGTTGATTGTTGAGGAAGGCTTGATATCCAAGAGTACTGAGTTTCTGGAGGAAACATGAAGGTATTTATACCTTTTCGAAGCAAAGGTCAAGTCGTCGTCCCAGTTCAGTTACCTAAGAGTTAACCAGGATGTTGATTACTTACTCCTTCTTTTGAAGAGACTGTATAGTATCACCCTTGCACGGCTGTCATCCTTCAGCCTGCAAAAGCACTGAGAAGGTGCGGAGATTTGAGGAGGTGAATGCAGTCAGCTTGAGTTGTTCTAACAGCTCGTTGATCACCAACAGTCCGAGTTAATCCCAATACTTCAGTGGATTGACAACCGACAGATGCTAAAGCAAGTGCATGGATTAGAGTAAGCCCTCAGACCGGGGTCCTCAAACAGGACAATAATAGGGTCAACAAAAGGTAACATTAACCAATCGTGTTGCCAGCATGGGCTCGTTGTCATGCAGTCTTTTCTTGACCCCTCTCCGGTATTACATCTGTTGGTCTGGCTTCGGGCTCATCTCTTCTGACATGTTGTCTGCCTCATTCGCAGGATACCATCTGCTTTTGATGCGTACATTCGATGAACCGCAGTCTTCCACCAACAATCAAACTAAGGAGAGGAGCCAGACAGCTTCCTTACATTGTGCTAGGAAATCTGTTCTAACTTATTTGACTCGTAGACTTGGCAAAGTAAACATAGATCCCTTTATGAATTTGATGCAGTACTCCAGGCAAGTGGTACATGCGTCATAAGGCGCCCAGCATAGCTTTCTGATTCGCTGGAGTCGCCTATCAGATCTCGTATGTGGATTGAGACTGAAATATCTAAGATGCCACGAGTCATGCCATGTCCAGTGCATTGCGCACTATGCGTGTAAGCAACTACCAAGATATGGGCCCAACTACCTCCTGCGCCTCTGACTCGACTGAGACGGACGCCGCAACGTAAGGTACTCGGATATCTGAAGGCGTGGCGTACGAGGGCACCGATCAGGAAAGCGCTCCCGTAAGCATGCGGGGGTTGTCAATCTTCTTGATTTACCCCTGCTGCCTTATCTGAGGATACGACCAAACTTGATGGTATGGAGTAGTAAAGGCACTAGGATAAGCACAGATCTTTCTTCTCGGACACAACTTTTATGCAAATTATGGAATCGCGAGATTGGTTTCCACCACAAACTCTTCCATGACACATTCCTGGGTAAATCAAATGATCCCTTAGTCCGCCTAAAGTAGTGTCTGGAGTAAAAGAGTTGGTTATCGAGAACAACCAGTGCCCAGGCAAGTTATACAAAATGATCTTGATCATGATACCAATTCTCGGTTCATTAAATTATACATCTTAATGAAGAACCTCCTGCGCCGATTGTCGATCCTACACTGACCAAGCCAGCCATGCAGGGTTCTCCCGGGCCCTAACTCCTAGCCCACACTCGGTGGCGAAGCCACTTGTCCTCTATTGCATGATTCTGGCATAGCCCTGCTTGGCAGCTGGCCTCCGCATCGAACGGGCCCAAGGATGGGGAATAATCATCCAATGCGGATCATCCAACTTCTTCGGATCGTTAATATAATAAAAGAGAAGAAGGTTACATCCGGCGCCTCCAGCAATTATTACTGTTTGATCTATAGTGCTTAGAGTGCTAAATAAGTTGAGCAGCCTCTTGGCGGGGGGCCTAAGAAGCGGGCCTAGGGCTGAATTATGTGCGTCCCGAAGTCAGGGGATGCTAGTATGGGATAAGTATTACAGCTGATCAGCTTGGGGAAGCATAAATAAAGACAATACGTGATATAGCTTCTGCCTGAACTTATCCCCAAATCGTGGGATAGCAGAGGTCCAGGGATCTTTGTCAAGAGAATTTCAGAAATAAATATCAAGCAGAGGGCTGGCGCTAGCTGCACCTTGAGTAGCGCGGAGGGGTACCCTTAATCAAGCTAAAAGCGGGGCCGCGCGCATAGAACAAAAGTCCCCTACTCGTGGGCACTAGCCTGAGCTGCCTGACCAATACGCGAGTGCCGACGGGTACAACATAGTTACAGTAGAAGAACCTCGCTACCACAAGCCTCGACATGTCGGGTACTCCAATCAGGCTCCGCCGACGCCATGGTGAGGCTCAGAATTTAGGTATAAGCTGTCCCCCGCATGATAGGCAAGGCCGCCACAAAATACTGATTCGTCTTTTCTTCCCTTGTCACCGATGAGAAAGTCAATTAGTGCTTACAGGATGACTTTACGTTTGGGAACTACAACTGCATCCTTCTAATATAACAGAATTCTCAAGGGCCAGAAAAAGCCATGTTGGTGAATACTATCGGAGAAGATCACGGAGGTAGCAAAAGTCCCTTGATTGCGAGGCTGTCAAGTGGTGGTGCCATCAGTTAGGTCAGTATTGCTGTTCTAGGTTGGGCAGTTATAGAGCGTGGCGGGTTTCCTGGTCATTGGTTGGGCAAGTTTGAAATGAGTGACGATCAGTTGGGATATTGCAGTATTCCTTGTCCCTGAGTGAGACTTACTGCGGCTCTAGCAACGAATAGACGCCCAGGAGATGCAAAACTATCCACATAAGAGGGGATCCATGTGGAGAAGGCTGTAATTTTTGACTCGTCTGATGTCAATTTCAGAAGACCAAGTCTTCCTAGCTGTGAAAAAAGCTGCTAATTCCAGGGACCCTTCTAAGCTGGGTCATTGGGTACATAATTAACCAATACACAAAAGATGCATGGCCGGATCAAATGGTCTATACATTTTCGCATTATGCAGTAATATGACTGCGCTCCCCAGCAGTCAAATCACTTGTTTTCAACTGCACAATGTTGTGAGCGACGCGTCATTCTTCATTTGTCTCGAGCTTTCCCAGAAAGTGAAATCTCACCACTTCGGTGACGCCGTTTTCGAAGTACCTTGGCTGATCTTATGATGATTATGGTGAGCAAGACCGACAGAACAATGCTGCATATCACCGAGTAGCCTGTGAGGCCAATAAGCCTGGAGTTTGCTGGGTGTTTGCCTTTGCCATTCTCAAAGGGGGCATCGACGCCTTGCACCGGTGGTCCATATATTGGCTGATCCCCTGGCTCGTAGTGCTCATCTTGTCCGCGAAGCCATCGTTCGTAGTCGGTTTCGGGCCTAGAAAATTTCTTTGACTTTGCTGAGGCCATCTGTTTCGAAAATCGGTCCACGTCTGGAAGACTTTAGTAGTGAGTGCAGTGATGGGCGTGTGGGGAGAGGATTGGTTCTTACCCTCGACAACAAACAATTTCCGTAGATTTCTTGATCTAGTAGGTTCCTTGCCGAAGATATTTGAAGTTGAATGTGTGGGTTTTTCTATCCTAAGAGCTGAGCTAGCCGACAATATACAGAAACCCCCTCTCCGGAGAGGGCCAGATCCCTGTACGTTATAACGCTGGACCCGCAGCCCAACAATTTCCGTCATACGCAGCTCTCATTTTTTATCCTCGGCTATTAAAGATACAGAATTGAGACACCCGCAAACGACAGTTGAGTGCAGATTCGGAATGACAGTGCTTGTAGCAGTTTACTTTCCAACAACCTTGGACCAACGCGCAGCCCTTAAAGCTGAGTCGATCGTGAAGATCACCAGTAGAATTACTTGTGAGGCGCTTTATGCCATTGGATATGTTTCACTGAGGCATAATCTCGCTGTCATCCGGGTTATCCGATTGCATACATGACACAGCACAACAGGTTGCTTATAGGCATCACAGTGACCATATCCAACACCCAAAAACATATGAAGAGCCAGTTAGATTGACTTCCTGTGTCCTCCTGCCACACTTGCAGCTAATCCTAACATGGATCAGTAACCAATGATTAATTAAACATAGATGTCAGCGCCATTGTGCATAGACACCTTGGACGCATGGAGAGTTTCACCCTTCCAGGCCGCAAAAAGCAAGTTTTCAACAAAACTCTCACCAGAAGTTGTGGTCTCCAGCGCAAATTATCCATATGGGTATACTGGCCTGCCCAGCCTATGATCACGCCCAGGCTACAGGCATTGCGTCCAGGATATAGAGAGTCAATACGCTGAAGAGCTTTCGTGCCGTCAGGTACTGCAATGGTAGACAGCGAACAGCGGACGGCAAAGTTATATGCAAGGCGCGCACAACGCTGTACATAAGCTCCGTATATTATTTGGTGGGAGGATACAGCCTTGGTGTGCGCATTAGATGCAACCAAACGCGAGGCTGCTGACGTCTCAGATCTACTAAACAGGCATTCAAGGCTGTGTCGAGAACATCAGTCTGTCTTGGCCGGAACGCATCAGCTACCAAGCTCCACCGTTGGCATCTTTTAGAACCCTTCAAAATAGGTCAACCACCGGACATCACGTTCGGTTGGCATACAGTGTACACGGACATGAAACCTGTGGGGTTGGCTGTTGTGGTCGGGCCTCACTGGTTTATTCAACTCCTGTTTAGCCACAGTCGAGCGATTCGGCTCCTAGAGGAAGTTCGGGGACGATTCACACTGCGCTTTCTGAACGATTGTTTAGAGGCTAACAAGTGCTAGGACCAATATTATTACCTTGGGCAAGCCCTTAATCTATTTTATTGGTGTAAGAGGTAGAGTCATTTACCCACTTGTCAAATCGACCCTTTGTCAAACACCGCCCACCACAGCAAAACATTTCCTTCCTCTTCAACCAAGGCTCATGGCATGATCAATAGCTAACATTGTATGGGTGAAATTAGGAGTAATTCAACCAGAAGCGTACAAGAAACCTGCCTACATGCGCGTTGCCCCCTAATGGAGAAGATAATACTACAGTACCTGCCATGCTACATGCTAGAGAAGCTAGCAAATGTACAGGCCATCCAGGCCTTGGCTATCTAGGCCTAGGACTCCTAGGTGCAGGCTACCTTGTCGCAGAAGGTAGAACTGGAGCATAAGAAGAAGGAAGTTATAGAAGCAGGAAGAGAAAGAGAGCTGTTAAGACAGGAGGCTCAGACTGCTCAGATCCCTACGAGGATCACACCTAAAGTTAAGCAGGTAACCTTTCCTAGCCTACGCCTCTTTTTGATACTCTTCTTATCTAGCTTCCATACCAGTGCTGCAGTGTTTACAAGCAGCTTTGCAGACTACAGATGCCTAACAGCTAGCAAGGCTTCCATACCATGTTCCAACATTTCAGCGGCTAGCTAGCCTGCGCCTACAGGAAAAGAGGATGGCTTTAGATATCGACTAGAAAATAAGATGGCTTTGGGCAAGCATGTAATGGAAGAGGTCTTGCAAGGGATTCCTTCCTGGGCACTGAGGCGTCAGAAGCAAAACTCTCTGGAAGAAATCAAGAATAGTCTGGAAGTCCAATTTTTCGAATTTGTTATTCCTATCGAGTTTTACTAATAAATACTACTAGATTCTCGACATGCTGTGACCTTGTCAAATCCATAGGGTTTACATATATATTCTACCTATTCGACGGGGTGCTGCGGTGTTTGACAAAGTGTGTGAATGACTGTCAAGTCATGGGAGAAGTCCACTCTGGACTGCTGGCCTGTATGCCGGCTGATATTAAGAAGGTCAGTTGCACATCAGTGATTGAAATATCGGCTTACATTGACATATACATCAGATCAGATTGGAGGTTACTTAGATTTGATTAGTCCTACCTAGTACAAGTCAGAGCACAAGCCATTCCTTATATTTTTGTAGGTCCGGCAGGTTCCATGTGACTAACCAACAGAATAACGTTCTTGCTTTAGCCAGTCTATGCAAACCCTAGCGCAGGAACCATTTCAAGTACTTTGAAATGAAACAGAGCAAAGGATTCTCCGAGGGCGCGCCGTCCACTCTCCGATATCCTCTTCAGTCGTGCTGCGGCAGGTTCGGTTTCTATATGTATCACAGGCCCAGTCCCTTGCATCGACCAAGGAAATCTGGTGCTTTGTTTCAGCGACGGTCATGTCTCCGAAGCTAGGCAATTTGCTTGAAGATCCTTCGAGTATATTGTGGCGCTTGCACCTTGTTATCACATGGACCAACAGGACAAGACAATTTTCCGATTGCATCGCGCACATAGCCCAATCTTTTAATCGCCAACTGGGAGTATTTCGCTTCGGAGGGATGGTCCTGGAAAAGATTTTATTGCATGTCCGACCATCTCGGCGTCCTATCTGTCCACCGGCTGTAATAGTCATTGATGCGGAAGGACAAATTCCGCAGGATATAAAAACTGAGTGTATGATGTTTCCGAACCATGTAGAGCACTAGACAACGGAGATATAGATATTACATGAACTTAGTATGAACGGCATTGCATTCGAATCCATCGCACAAGTGGTATGCGCCCCCGGAGGTGTCACGGTTATTTGGTTTCGGCGACACAAGATATCCGCTGAAATACTCGTATTATTCAATTATCGCATAGCTAGCCTTGAAGGTATTATAACAGAAATGTACAGTGCCTAGCAGAACAATAATAGACCACCAAAGGTATATATGGAAACAATACGTTGTAAGATCTGTAGACGCGCAGGAATTGTACTACACAGAGAGATGTCGTCTGGACCTCGCATATCCTTCTTACAGGGCAAGAGCGAGAGCCAGTATACCAGCAGCACCGGCAAAGCTGACGGCCACGGCGCCAGTGGGGGCAGCGTTCGGGGTCGAGGTCGGGGTCGTGGTTGAGGCAGCACCAGCAGAGCCCGAGGACGTGGTCTTGGTGTTGCCGGAAGAAGTCACGGAAGGAGAAGAAGTGAGGGCGGGAGTGGTAGTAGAACCGGTGGGGGTAGCAGCAGGGCTACCGCTGGCGGTATCGGTGGGAGCAACACCGTCGAGCTCAGCCATGACAGCGTTAGAAGCCCAGGCTTTGACGCTGTCGGGCAGGTTGTTGTACCAGTCGGGTATCTGCCCTTGCTCAATCTGCTGAACGATGCCGGCGGCCTGGGTAGGGTCGGTAAGGGCCGCAACGACAGAGGGAGGAATAGCCGTCATGAGGACGCCGAGGACGGAGCTGGGAATGGAGTCCATCAGAGCGTTCAGGTCATCGCCAGCCTGAGGGGCTGGGGCAGGATTGGCCACTGCCAGAGCGGCGAAAAGGAGGGTAGCGAGCGACTTGAATTGCATCGTGGCAGAAGTAGATAGACAGCGAGCAAAACGGATGGGAATGAACGACGGTAGAGACTGAGGAACTCGTCGAATACGGTGGAGAGATGGTCTGCTTTATTTATTTCTGGGTAAGCACCTGGACCCTGGGGTCCACGAATCTGAATAATTTGATCCATCATCTGGATTGCCCCTTTTCCAAAGTTTATTCGCCCGTTTTAGCCTGGTTTTCCTCCAATAAAATCTGCCTTTCCAGAGCTGCGCAGTCTAGATCCCGCGCCGTCTGAGTTAAGCCGCGGTTTTCCCACGCTATCGAAACCACTAACGTCTAACCGGCTGCTGTCGTCCAGCCAAGGGTGGCGGAGTGCGTTATGAGGAAATAGTCGTGATTGGTCATTTCCGGAGAAATAATGGGTACTGTGAAATTGTGCAGGATCTCACGGATTTTAGAGGAACAGAAGGTGATCCTTCAAGCAATCCTCCTCACTGTAAGGTACGGAGTAGATAGGATAGGCATCCTCTCATGGGTAAACGTCTATTATTGCCCAACATCAGTATTCCTTCGAGAGACAAATATCCAGCAATTCCAGCGATGGTGGAAGGTTTGCAAATTTTCTGGCGGAACTGAGAAATGAGAAGCCCTTTTTGAAACTGTCCAAACTGTAAACCATCGTTACAGGTCATGGTTATAAACCATAATCTTCTGCATATATACGTCGTATATACAGTTAGTAGACATATCTGAAAGTCTTGTTCTCCCGATCCGTCAACCCGGCCCATTTGGTGTCATCCTGCGCCTGATCCTCCTGTCCTGCTGCAGCACGGTCCCTGCGCTTGTTCTCCCACATATAATACAAGAAGAGGACGAAGGAGAGCACGGCTGCTGCAGCCTGCGTCGCTAGCACTGCAATCTTAGCCGGGTGATATTCCGGCGCATCTCGCGCCTGGAACGTTTGAGGACCAATGATGTTTCCGACCGAGAAGGAGCCGGCGACGAGCGCACTGGCAAACGCGCGCTTGGTATGGCCTGCGCAGTTGGCCGCGGTCCATTGGTAAAGAATGGGGAGGGTGGCGACGATGGCGTTGACGAGGTAAATCCCAATGAGAACACCTGCTTTGTTGTGCTTGGGGAGGAAGGAGAGCAGACCGCCGCCGAGGATGCCGGGCAGGGTGGAAGCGATAAGCCAGGCCCAGCGGTGGGAAACTCGGCGGATCCCGAAGCCGACGAGGAGAGTGAAGAAGATGCTAACAATGCCCGAGGGCATATTGAGCAGGGCCGCGTGGGGACCCGAGAAGCCGAATCCAGCAATCAAGGTTGCCGAGTACGAGGTCACCACTCCACTGGAGACGGAGATCTGTGCGGTAGGGTGTCAGCGATCGGAAAAATGCGTGATAATCGGCATAGCGAACATACCAGCATGGTGATGATCGTGATGAACCAAAGCTGAATGTCGCGTACAGCCTCCCAGATTTGTTTTACGTTAAAGTCACTGCTCCACACACCCGTCTGGTTGACGCTGACGTGGTTCAAAAGAGCGACCTTCTCGCGGTCGGTCAACCACTTTGCCTTCATCGGCGCATCGGGCAAGAAGATGAAGGTCAGCGCGCCAGTCAGGGACGTGACAAGTCCGAGAACGAGAAACATGACGCGCCACCCTTGGAAAGACGGGTTCTTCACATGCTGGAAGCCAAAGGAGATAAGACCACCCAGGATCTGTGCCACGCCCAGACCGACATACCACAGCGTGAATCGGGGCGCCGCTTCGCTTTTGGTGTAGTACTGACTGCTCAGCAGCATCAGAGAAGGACCAATCGTGGCCTCGAAAATGCCGAGGAAGATGCGAGAGACCAAAAGGGTACGATAGTCACGGGCGCCGGCACAGGCCGCCGCAGCAACGCCCCAGAGGAAGACATTTGCTCCTAGCCATTTGGCTGGAGGAGTCTTTTGCAGGAGAATTACTAGAGAACATCAGCAGGATGAGTGGGATGCGGGGCCACCAGAGGGATGAGACATACCGAGCGGAGCCTCCGCGATCAAGTAGGCAATGAAGAACCAAGTCGCCGCATTAGAAAAATCATTGCCGACCAACTTGAGGTCTTTCCGTATTCCCATTACAGCAGCATACTGCCGGAATAATCAGAGAGAAGACTTTGTGCACACAGGGGAGAGAGTGGCGTACATTGAGCATCACCTTGTCGAGGAACTGCAGAATATAGCAGCAGAACATGAAGGGGATAATGCGATAGTCGATCTTGCGTCGCAAAGCCGCAAGATCGACAGTCGCCTCATCCTGGACATTGGCATGTTCATCCAGATAATTCAAGGCATCATCGCGTCGTCCATGGACAGGATGGGTGTCTATATCTGGCCTTTTCTCGGCCATTTTGATGACAGAAAGGCGACGGAGGACGGAATAAAAGGAAAAAAGAAAGGGAAAAAGCAAGGCAAAAAGCAACACGTCAGATGTGAAACGAAAAGTGGAGGGTAGTACAAGGGATGAAGGGGAGGGATGCAGGGCACGATGCTGATCAGCTAAAGTACCTAAGGTAGTACTGAAGATGATCCCGACTTTAAAGGATGGGTTGGGGGCCAAGCGATGGTGGGGTTAGAAGAATGCACCAGTCTTAACTTTTTTTCTTCGCAGGTTTTACTTTGAAGACTGTAGGGATCAGTTTGAACGTGCAGATATCCCGATCCAGCTAAATACCGGTGATAGTAGCGCAGAAGAATGCAGCTTTTGCCCAGGGTCCCCTGTCTAGTGCTACAAGCACACCGGTGCCCAGACTCTAGATACTCATGGCGCAAGACTAGAAGCGTCGGTTTTATTGCTCTGAATGAATTTGTTTAATTATCTCGGGTCTTTTCCGCGGAAGAAATTAGTTTTCTTGGAAGGCCAATCCTTCAGAAAGAAACAAGTAGTGTGCAGAGATCGAACTAGTTCATCCCTTGGGAGTATTTTCCAGCTGATGCCGAGTGGACTTTTACTGAATCTCCCATCATGCATGATTATACAAAACAATGCGATAGATGACTGCTGATCTTATTATTTCCTCATCCAACATCTCTTTATGTGACGCTCAATATGGGCTGGGTACACAATGCTTCGCCGGAGATCGACGCCCAGTCCAGGTATCCACTCATTTTGGGGGTATGCATCGCTCTGACTCTGTTGATGGTCATCACCGTTTGCCTGCGACTGTTCGTGCGTATCAAACTGGGGAGATTCGACCCTTCCGACTATGTGATGGTGTTTGGAATGATCTTCAGTATTGTTTACAATGCTCTTTGTATAGCTCGTAAGTTCATCGTCTGGCCCATATGACCCATGACCCATGAGCCATGCTCACAACAGCAGAAAGCCGTTATGGACTGGGATTACCGCTGGTGTTGCGGCCAAAGCCAGACCTCCCAACGTACACAAAGGTATGACTCGTCTGCTCGTGCTCGATTCGATCTTTCTGACCAGTCAATGCAGCTCAACTACGCCGGTCGGCCATTCTACCAACTCGGAATCGCCGGTTTCAAAGCCGCACTGTGCATCAACTACCTTCATCTGCTCGCAAAGACGTCCAAGCGCTTTTACCGCATGTTGGTCTGGGTGGTGATTCTACTGTCGACCTTGGGACATGTGGCTGGCACACTGGTTCTCATTCTAAACTGCAAGCCGGTAGGTGACTATTGTCCCCGCACAGTGTCAAGAGTTGTGCTAAACAGAATTCAAAATGATAGGTCGAGCGGTCCTGGAATCCGACCATCCCTGGTAAATGCCTTCCGGTAGGACCGACCTTCTACGGTCTTGCAGCCTTTACAATCATCTGCGATGTGGCCGTCATCTTCCTGCCGATTCCATTGCTACTCCAGTTGAACGTGAAACCGGCACAGAAGGCAGGCGTGGTGTGCTTGTTCCTGCTTGGACTGTTCACTACTCTCTGCTCCATTCTGCGCCTAACTCAGATCCATCGCGTGGTGGCCGTAGATGGTGATTCGACCATGTTAGTCCTCTGGGGCACAATCGAATTCAATGTCGGAGTGAGCTTGTCCACAAATCTGAACGATACATAGAACATGATCTGACCGAATGTCCAGAATATCGTCACCTCTCTTCCGTTCCTTACGCCCCTTCTCAAGATATGGGTCCGCGACTTTCACTCCCGCAGTGGCGGCGAGCTTCGCAAGAACACCGGATACTCATTGCAGTCCTACTCCAAGAACCGACAGTCTCAATTGAGATCAGTAACCCCCAAGGAGCCAGCCCTTGTTCACCGAACGCCCAGCGAGGAGCTAATCCTCGACACTGACGATTCCACTGCTCGAGCGAACGCCGAGATCCATGTCACGGTCGAGTACCGTGTCTCACACGAGAACGATAAATGATACGTGGGGACCAGTTTCATTCTCTGTATATTTTGACCATTCCTTCCTTTACTTTTTCTTTTGTGTCCACGTGTCGTGACGATGTCATCTTGGCCGACGGATAGTTTGATCGATCGATATCATGGTTCAATCCCACTAGTATGATTTCGACAATATGCCCGAGAACATGACCGATGGGTTTTCGACTAGACCACCAAAGTAAGCAGCATCCTAGCTTGAGGTCCGTCGTCGAAGCCAGATTCTCATTTTCTGCGGGTCTCTGGCGGGACTCGGATAACTGCCAATTCAGCCTATTAGTCAACGGAGACACAAGGTTTTATTCAAGCGGGAATTGGTACCAATATAGGTATTAACCGAAAAGGTCGTGCCATAGATATTGCTGGTCCTTAAGTTTTAAAGTGACAGGGATCAACAGCCAAGGTTCGCCGGCGTCTTCCTGGCGTCACTCTAAAGACACCACTAAACCCGCAGTGATATAGGCTGTGACCAACCAAGACATTGATCCAGCCGTATTATTAATTTATTTGAGGGTCGTTTTAGAGTGTCCTATTGAACTCATTGAGTCTCACGGTCACGGTCCGAAGGATTCCCTTATCACAACCAATCACGCTATGAATTTCATGCTGCCATGCATCCTTCAAATCCTACGCAACCAGTCTACGGTCTAGGCACGTGTGATTGGAATTAAATCTCGCATACAGGGTACTAAACACAGGGAATATCCGGTATATGCCCGGCTTGCGAAGGATCATCGGTGGAATTCAGGCCACGCTCAGCCAACCATGACAGGGGGCTGTGTAACTGTCCGAATGGTCCAATTATCGCCCGGTCACCCACCACGCCACTTGTCTCTGAGTGAAAATTTTTTACGGCTGACAGTTAATCTTCTGGTCCATTCTAGCTGACTATCTCCTTACCAAAAGCACGGCAGAAGATTAATAGCCAACTGCCAAGTCAACAGCATGTCTGGTCTACCCGTCCTCATCATCGGCGCAGGGATCAGCGGTCTGACCCTGGCCCAGTATCTGCACAAGTCAGGGGTTCCATTCCTTATCTTTGAGCGGGATTCCTCTATCGATATCCGTACCGGGGGATGGGGTCTGACGCTGCATTGGGGACTGCCGATCCTGCGGGAAATGCTGCCCGAGCATATCGTCGCACGGTTACCCGAATGCTCAGTGAACAAGGAAGCTTCCGAGAGTGGCGATGTCGGTCGGTTCCCGTTCTTTGATCTGAGCTCCGGATCGGCGCTGTTCGAGGTCCCCGCTGCGGAGAGGCTGCGGGTGAACAGGGGGAGATTGAGGGAGTTGTTGACGACGGGGATCGACGTCAAGGTCTGTCTTTGAGTCTGTAGCATTTCAAGTGAAACTCACGGAAGCAGTGGTCCAAAACAGTGGTAGACGTCACATCGACAGAGGAGAGCGTTACAGCGCACTTTGAAGATGGTACTTCCTACACGGGTAGTGTTCTCATTGCCTGTGATGGCGCCAATTCTCGCATCCGTAAACTGGCATATCCCGACTCGTATCAAATGAACCCGCTCCCCGTGCAGCTTCTGGGAGTGACAGTCCGGTATTCGCCAGAGCAAGCGGCCTGTTTCCGGGCTATGGATCCTTATATCTTCCAGGGAGCTCATCCAGAATCGAATGTCTTTTTATTCTTCAGCTGTATGCATGTCTTCTACATGTGTATCTTGCCGCTAATAGTCTACAGTCCTCGATACCCCGAACAACTTTGACGACAGCACAGATGCCTACGTCTGTCAGATCATCGTCTCATGGGCCGACAATAAAAACATCCCGCTCCCACCCGATAATGCTGGACGAATTGCATTGATGAAAGAGTTGACAGCCAACTGGGTCGAACCGTTCCGATCGCTCGTCCACAATCTCCCTGATGATTCAGAGGCACGCGCAATCCGCATCCAAGACTGGATCTTCACCCCGGGAAAGCATCTTCATCCGCGCGTGGTTATGATGGGCGATTCGGCGCATACTATGACCATGTGTAAGATCTCACGCCATGACTGGATGCAATTTCGCTAATATGACCGTCTAGTCCGTGGCGAAGGTGCCAACAGCGCCATCGCCGATGTCCGTGATCTGGTCCGGCGAATTGATTTCGCCTCATCGGAGTACGTCCTGTGCCCCCATCTTCTGAAACTGATAATTCTGACTGTGTATAGCTCACTAGGATCCGATTCCCTCCGTCGCTCTATCCAAGAATACGAGAACGATGTGTTTAGACGGGCGGAGGTGAGTGTTTTAAACTCACGACAGGCCTGCCTCGATGCGCATGATTACCCAAGGATCTTGAATGGAAGCCCGCTCGTGGCGAAGAGAGTGCTGGATAGCGAGTGACATGAGCTATGAGGCTATAAAGCCTCGCTCGATCTCAGCGTTGCCATGCTATTGAGAACTAGCGATCGACGGTAGATCACCCGCAGGCGGAGGATATGTTCCCAAGCTGTAACCTTGAGTAGTTTTCTGTCATGACTTGGGCTATGACTGCAGTAACAGTCATTGGATCCTGGCCTTTACCGATAGACAGTTCCAGTACTTCGGTGATGTCGGTGACTAAGGGCATTAACCTGCGCTACAAGCGACCTAATCTATTTATAATCACCGACGAATGACATAAGTTATAGCCAGAACTGTGACTTAGTATCCCTCTGGACCTCTCCATTCACGTCATGCATCACGAGGACGCCGGGTCCTACAACAGTGAACTATCGGCATGGCCAACTCGCTTAAGTTATCCCTCGCGAGAGCTCAGGCAGTTGAATCACAACAGAATGTATGTTTATTCTAGCACCTTGCTGACATGCCAGCGCCGCAACTACTGGGCCGACATTGAGCAGGCCGCTTTGTCACCATACACCATCCCCATCCCCATCGGCCATCCAAGCGAAAGACCTACCTTTCCGTAGAACACCAACATTAATAGAATCAGTGCTCCGAACCAAGAAAACAGTTCTATGAACAAAGAATCTCGTTCTACGTCAGGAGATGGCCACCAAAATGAAATGTGGCGTGGCACTAAAGTTTTCGCATTTACTTCCTTTGTTGTCATTGAGACAATGAGACTTCGAGGCAGTGCACGACAACTATGAAAGATCTTTATCCCCAGTCTCCCTGAAATGTCATTCATCTGCAGGTTGATTTCTTCGATGCCACGATGCTGGACTTATTGACCATCTCCATGACCGTGTTGCTATATTCCAATCCGGGACACCACACGCAACAGCCACGTTTAAAACAGCCATGACTCCAGCCTCGACAGCTCCTCACGCTACGCATACGATCAAGGTAGGCCCAAAAGAAAACCCGCACCAATACTTGCCGCACAACATCACCGCCGCTGTTAACGATGTAATCGTCTTCGAGTTCTACCCGCGCAACCATTCGGTCGTCAAGGCCGACTTTATGGCACCTTGTGTGCCTGCTGCGGGGGAGATCTTCTATTCGGGCCAGTTCAATACCTTCAACGAGAATAGCGACGGGCAGCTGGAAGGAGAGGTTCGTGTATCGCCTCACCTTGAGATCAAAAGGCTAACTGTTTAGCCTCCTACATGGTCCCTAGTTGTGAATGATATTAAAGTATGTCTTGCCTAAGAGCCGGAAACATATTAACTGACCCGGGTTACAGCCCACTTTCTTCTACTGCACGGCGGTCGACTCCTGTCTCGTCAATGGAATGGTCGGAGTAATCAACCCGGTAGGTATATCCCCACGATCCAAGACGCCTGCTTATCACTGTAGAACGAAACCATGACCTGGGAAGCACAATTCGCCCAAGCAAGACGATACCCGTACATGCTCGTCCCGGGACAATCGCCTCCCGCCGAAGGAACGGGCTACTCGTCCTCCACTACCGAAACCCACCAGAAGAGCGCTTTCAGCGGTGGCGCCATAGTCGGTACTGTGATCGGCGGATTTGCCTTTATTGCCATCCTCGTCGTCCTTGTGATCACGCTGTGTCGGAAAAGGTATAAGCAGGGGCCATCCTCGCAGGTCGGGCGGATGGAGCGGACGGCCCACTGGGCTCTGTTTGGTGGTCAAGGCGAGGGAAAGAGAGAGCAGGGATGCACTGCATCGTCTTCAGTTGGAGGCCATGGTACATTGTCGTGGAGCTCGGGCGCTTCGCCGCCGGCTGTCTCGCCTCCTCTGCAGAATGTTGGGTATTGGAACTGGGAAACAGCAATGAAGCAGTCACCGCCACAGGAAGAAGTCCGTCAGCCGAGCGAGCTGGAGGCGACGAGTGCTGTCGGTGGAAAACCAGGAGGCATGTACTACGGATGGACGTGATGTCTCTTGTTCTTTGTATAATTTTCCTCTTGTATTCTTCTCCTGTTATGATGTTTTTGTATTCAACCATTGTGATATCTTCAGCCGTGATGAAGTCAAGAAAGCATAATGCGTGTTGCCTCACTAGGTGCAACAACGCTTTCTTCATTATTTGATGTAAATACTATACAATTTTATGGCCTTCGTATTCGATATTCCCTATGGAATCTCATCATAGACTCTATCGCCCGCCTTAGGTGGCTCCAAGAAATCCTTCGGAATCTGAGCCGGTAGCTGATTTTTCTCGGCATACTGACGAATAGCTTCAAAGTTCTTGCACTGATGCTCTGTGTTGAAGTCCACATACGCCTCTGGGTGATCAGGGTGGATCCAGACTTGACCGAGGACTCCGGTATCAATGGTGCACATGAGTTGCTGTCGTAGGATGTCCAGACAGTGGGCTAGCAAATTATTGTCACTTCTAGACTTGAGTGGAACAGGGATGTGGAATACTTACAAACGTGTCGTCGGACGATAAAATCGTCGTTCTTGAAAGCTCCTTGGCCAAGCTTGTGGTAGTAATCGTAGTTGTAGTAGAGTGTTTGACGCAGTAGATTCTTCACAGGTCAGCTTTCATCCTGATATGATAGAATGAAGACATACCAGACAATGTAAATGATGGAAGCCCTCTACATTCGCCGGATAGCCTCCTCCATACTTCTGGCTGATCTTGACCTGGTCTCGCGCCAGTCCGGACTTTTCTGCTACTTCGGCAGGAACACGCAGACTTCTATCTGCTCATGGTTAGTCTTTTGTTTATCTCAGGGTAATCTGTCTTACAATTTACACCTAATGCCTCCCATGCTGCGTCGACCTCTGGACTGGCATCTTGACGGTAAATGTTCTCTTTGAGCAGCGAACCATTGAACCGCTGAGGTTGAAATGTTATGTCGACACTCGAGGTAACAGGCGCTGTTCTTGTTAATTAAGGAATTCACAAGTAATTCAAAAGATGGAGAACGTACAGTAATGAGAGACATGGCGAGTACAGACCCTATCGAGGTCTTGTAGTTGATGTCCGATGAAAAGTCCAACCAAGCATGAAACAACGGCTATCGCCATATAGAGCAAGACCGTGAGCCAGGCTCCACGCGGTCTAGTTCGAGGCTTTTCGTCATGACTCCAATTTTGGGCTTCTTCATTGTTGAGTAGGCCATAGTTGGCATCGATATCCTTGTCCGACTCGGAGCGCGCCATTTTGTTTTTTGAGTACGTAGCAGTTGTCCATCACATTACAGAAGCTCAGATGATAGAAGATATAAGGTAAACAATCAACGCGATCGAAGGAAGCTTGACCGCAACAACAGTCGGATGGGTGGCAGTGTGACTACTTCCAAGTACCGTGCATGTCTCACCTCCCACCAATGACCGATGGTGGAGTAACAGGCCCCCCGCGGATGCAACCTGGGATTAGATGAGTTGTAAGACACGGGCAAGCCCGGGTTGGCAGATACCCTTCGGCTCCGTGCGACCCGCAACACTTGGCGGTGTCTTTGTCTCACTAGGTTGATATTAATAGTGAGCCCATGATGCAATAGACTGATCGACGCGTCTTGGCTTGCAGACGAGAGTCACGAGTGTGCGGAGAACAACCAATCTCGACTCTGCCGAGGACCCAAAAGCTGCAAGCTTGAGACATGCAGAAGACAGACAGATGCCTATTCCGGTTGTTCGTGTGTTGAGTTTTTGATCACCCAGGTGACGGTCGTGAGTTCGAATGGGAAGCGGAGGTGGTGAACACAGAAACTGGTCAGATTGACTTTGCAGCTCCATGGCTGAATGTACAATTGACGAACTGCTCAAGGCTATTGTTTGCGTTACCTGTGGTGACAGAGGCTTGCACGATGTAACACCGCGTCGATGGAGCTTCCTTCCTTGTATTCTGCAGTATCCCTGATTGGAACATCATGATGGCTTGTATCACGGCCATCCCACACCGCTGCAGTCATCAGAGACTTGACCAATAAGCATTGGTCCACGACTTGGAGGCTGGGTACTCTCGGGCACGACTCTGAGCTACAGCAAGGAAATAGGGCAGAGTACTGTCTATAAAGCCTGCTACCCTTGTCCGTCCAAAAGATTTTCTTCATTCCCTGTCACAGCAAACTCTTCCGTTCATTCTCAAACTTTACCTATCACCCAGCACAATGCAGTTACTTAGCAAAGCTGCTGTCCTCTTCCTGGCACTGAGCGTCAGCGCCAGACCCATCGAGGAGGCTCGCGCCGAGACAACGGCGCCCGCCGATTATGGAGACTACAAGGACTATGGCTCCTACGGCAAGTACGGTGACTATGGTCACTACAAGCGCGACGAGGAGCCCAGTCCCACAACCACATGCACCAAAACAGAAACTCCTGTTCCTGGATACAGCAACTACGGTGATTACGGAAACTATGGTCAATATGGGGACTATGGTCACTACAAGCGTGACGAAGGGCCCACCACCACCACTACTGAGACCCCAACTCCTACTCCAGCGAACTATGGAGACTACGGAGACTACGGCAACTACGGCAAGTACGGGAACTATGGAGAGTACAAGGTGAAGAGAGATGATGAGCCTTGCACGACCCCCACCGAGACCCCGACTCCCTCACCTACTCCTGCCGACTATGGTGACTATGGAGACTATGGAAACTATGGCGATTACGGCACCTACGAGAACTACTAGAGGGCTCGCCGAACGAACGATGTAAGTTTTTGTCTTTGGGATTAGAAATCGCCCGTCCTGATGAATTGCAGTATAAGAAAAAGTCCGACGAATGATTTCCGAAGTGGAATATCTGTGGCATATCGAGCAAAGCTCTACGCAATATGTGATGATGATGATCATGTTTACACACTCCTTAAATCTTAATGTCTTGTCTAGATGAAATGAATCATAACATACGCGAGTCATGAACCTTCATTATAGCTGGTACTTCCACTATGTACCCTGTAAGGAGTAGGAAGATCCTTGCATGGCAATGTACATCGGCGATGGTAGAGGCGACACCGAATGTAGCTGCCTCTTTCAATACATCAGTAGAAGGATCGATATGATCAATTCAGGGAAAGCAGATTCCCTGCAAATGAAAGATGATTCGTATCTAGGAATCAACAGTTCAGCACCTCGAGCAGAAGCATGGAGGCCAGTGTGGCGTATGGCTCGTGATACTATCACAGCAATGCTCCTTGCATATATATGCAGGGAGCCACACTGATGTGACCTCAAATGCACGACTGAACTCAACTCATTTCGGATGCATCGATGCTACTTCCGACGCCAGGATCAGGCTCATCCTGGTTACTCTGGTCAGCTAAGGCACCGGTGCGAAAAATGTCAACTTAGCGCACCATGCGCATTTGAGACCTCACATACTCATTCCTCTGGCACTTAGGACTGAAGGTATAGGGGCCCCCAGAACTAGTCATGTTTGTTCAGGGATCACACGAAGGGCAGTTTACAGTTCATGGGTATACTGGTAGCCATTTGAGTAGTCGAAGCGATTCGCTGTGTTTTAGGTCTGTTTGTCTTTAAGCTTTGATGTGGAAAGCTTGACCAAGTCTAAGTGATTGATCTACAGGCGTTTATTTGGGGCGATAGTATCTGACCTCGGGACATTGTTTGTATTAAGATAAATGGCCGATGTAGAGCCTGTCAGCCCTAGGGCAAGGTTAGAATCGGATGCTTGCTTGCATCGCTCACTTTCTCTGAACTACTGTTATTCCGTGATGATCAATAAGAATAGCGAAATGTTGACGCCATATCCCCCATATACTCCAACTCTTCTTCCGGTAATGATCGTGGGTCAATTGTCCCATTGGCAATGGCCCGATCACGCTTCTTGTTATCGTACAGTATCGCCAAGACGTAGATGATGGCCATCGCGGCGGAGAAACAGAGGAACGACAGGCTAATGATGTACCCCTTATGGTAGCGAGGAGCGTCTTTAGTGAGGAATGAGTAGGTGGAAATGATCCCACCGACTCCAAATATTAGCATGATCCCGGGTTGTGAATGGAGGACGTACTATTTCCAAATCCAATCTGCCATGCCGTCCCTACGCTTCGTCGACGATGACCACCCAGGTTCATCGAGAACCAACAGACCAGCACGGGCATGGCACTGTAGCAGCCACTCGTGACAAGGAACAAAGCACCGTATTGTACGGTATGATGGTCGTGGACGTTAAGGAGGATGCCAAACCCGGCCATAGCGATGAGGATCGGGATGATGGCGAAGATGAACCGGTGACGGAGTTTGTCAGACAAAAAGGCGATGAGCATGGAGAAGCCAAATGCCGCGGCCCATGGTGGGATGGAGTAGAGCTGTGATTTGATGGCTGAAAGGTCAGTTATGTGCAATTGATAGGAGACATGATCGTACCGTCGTGGCCGTAGGTTTTGATAATCGTAGGTGCAAAATAGGCATATCCTGTCCTTGTCAGCATCTCGCTGAAGAGCAGATGTGGACTCGTACCATAAGCTGTGACGCCCTGTCCAAGGTACATAAATCCGCCTATAAACACCTTGTCTGATCTGTGTTAGCGATTACCCATCATGCCGAGGGAGCATGCTTGCAATCCTTGAAAACAGCCAGAACATCGCGCCATCCAATGCTCGCATGTCTGGCAGCGTTACCCACATCGTCCGCCAGCTTGGAAAGTATGAACTCCCTCTCCTCCTCACCGAGCCACTTTGCATCCTCAGGAAAGCCCGGGACGATGAAAAAACAGACCATCGCAACCAGGCAGGTGATCACGCCCTCGATGATAAACACCCAGCGCCAGCCGCTATAGCCACGCAGTCCGTCCATTTTCCCGATTCCGCTGGCAAGCAACCCGCCGAATGCACCAGCGATAGTGGATGAGTTGAAGAAGAGACTGAACCGCTTCTGAGCCTCGCTTCGCTTGTACCACATGCCAATAAGGTAGAAACCTGCTCCGGTTTAGCTGGTTTCGGACGCAGAAGAGGTACT